ATTTTTACATATTAAGACAAAGTCTGTGACAGATTAGCTTTGCAGTCTGTGGGAAATCACTTCTCCATAACAGCTGTGAGTCACAGAGATCCTGTGGTCCCCAAAATATTTTCAATATTTTCCAATTCCCCAGTAAAATGTGCTGTAAAACCACCTGTGTGGCACTCCACAATTACTGCAGGAAAATGTTTCATCCCAGTAAATTCTTTAATTTTGTTTTTTCAGCTTAAAAGAGAGGGGGAAAAGTGATACTTCTGTTTGTAACAGTTGCTTTAAACTGTCCAGGTTTCTTTTGGTTATTTTAAGGCATTTTTGTTTAAAATACTGAAAACATTCCCTATCAATGCCCACAGTGTTATGAGCGGAAAGCATCCCAAGAGAATACATGTGGGATTCTTCTGCTCTGTCAATGCACATATTTACAAGACTCATAACTCAGTATAGACTCACTCAAGTGAGAGACAAGATGCATTACTAATTTAAGATGAATTTGAAGTGTAGCCATTTAGTTGCTACAACTTTCACTTTTGATCAATTTTGTAAGGTAGTTTTTAAAAAAAAGGCAGGGTTGTTTTGCACCCACACAAAGGCACTATTCTGACACATAAATATTTGCCCACATGCATGTGTACACACACCCAGGAAGGCATTACAAATTAGTGGTCTTTGTCATAGGCTTTGCTGTTAGTTCTGAGGAACAGAATATGCTACAGAGATCTCTCTGTACTTCCCTTTGGGCTTTGTTAAAGATGCAGCTACTGCAAAGTTACAAAGTTCTGCATAAATCTGTTGAGCTCACAAACTGCGCAATATTGTGCTCACTATAGAAAAATACAATTTTACTGATAAGTCTAATGAGGGGCCTGAGGGCTGTGATAAAGGCCTAAGGAAAAAAAATAGAAGAAAGAAAAAAACAATTCATGTAGCACGTAAATATAAGAGCAGTGATGCTGAAGGGAAAGGAAAAATACTATTTATTTTTTTTTTGCTGACAGTCCCTGCAGAAACTATTTATGTGCAGTCCTATACTGATGTGCGTACTCAGATATATTTTCCTGAAGCCTGTAGAGTTTTGTCTAAGCAAGAGCTTCAGAATGTGTGTGTAAATAAATTAAAGAATGTCTGTTTTATAATGAGAAGGGTGTATTGTGGTATAAATATTGCAGAGTACATTAAATAAACATGGTCACATATGACCAGGTATCTATTAAATGAGCACATCACAGGAGAAGTTAATTATCTAAGAGTATAACGGAACTATTTAGAACCACTGGAGATTAGGTTGCTTTATTTCTGTTTATCTTTCCTTCTGAATAAGCACTAGGCTGTTGCAACGAAGAGTCCCACAGCAACACAAAGCGTCATCTTTTCATCAACTCTAAGATGACAGAGTTTTGTCAACAATACTTTGAAGTTCTGATAAAACAAAAATTTTCCTCAAAGTAATTCTGTGCAAAATACTCTGGTACAAAACAATATTTAAGATGTAAAGGTGCAAAATATTTATGGTTCTTTTGATATCTTAAGCTGCTTAGGGGAAGGAAGAAGACTTACATGGTGCAGTTTATGTATATATATTTCTGACATACATTGCATCCAAAATAGCTCTTCCAGAAAGAAAAATCTTAGTAATATGTGCAGTTACGTGTTACTGCTGGGATGTTGGTCTCTGACACCAACATTCAGTTTGGCAGAAGTCTGTGCATACCTGCTTTTTTTTTGGATGCAATGTATGCGAGAAACATATACACACAAACTACACCATTGATATTAGACACTAATAGGCAGCCAAGCTGAGCTTTTACACAAGCTTCTTCACTTGTGATAATCTCAGCACACCCTCCACCCTTGAGGGGAGGAGAATGTAAAGCTGGCTGGGTATGGCATGGGCAGAAAGTTTCTCTGAGCTCCTTTATGAGAGCATCAGTGAATTTATGGGCTATTGAATAGGAAACAAAGATTTCTGCAACAGAAAATTGCAATTCGGTGTTTCATGTGGCATCTTTAGTGATGACTACAATTGTCTTCCTCTCTAAACAAATTATATCTCCATTTACCATTAATGACTGCATTGCTTAAATATCACAAAGGAACCGCCTGGTGCACTTATTAATAATTGAAAACTTTGAAGAAGTCTGTGAAACATTTTCAATCAAAGCTAATAAATCTCTAAAATAACCTTATTCCTGAATAATTTTTCCTTTTGGATAACAGACTATGTTTTAAATAATGGCATTAAGAAAACCACAATCTGAAATAACAGTTGTGAAGTATCTAAAATCAGAAGTGGTTTCAACAGTTTAAAAAAAAAAAAGGCAAGGATTGAAAAAGAGGCAATATTAATCTGTTTCCTTCTTGCAAGTATGTTGAATTTCTGTTTCAGTCCACATGCTGTTTCCTGGTATCTTACACTGGTGATGAATAAAATGTACCCACTTAATCTCTGTCCTTGTTCTACATAAACATGAAGAAAAACTTCAACAATAATTTTTTAATCAGTCAAGTCCATCAAATCAATACTCCTATTGCTACTCAGCTGGACTTTGCAGAACTACTAAATGACCAAAGGGAACAACAACAAAAAATACCCAAAACATTTTGGTCAGAGCTAATAGAAATCTTGAATGGCTTTTGCCACTTACAGCCTCATGTTGGCGTTATTCTACTCGGTAACCTTTACTAGCCAAGAGCAAGGGCAGAAAGATTAATGCAAAATTACCCTCATCTGCAAAGATTTTTTTGGTGTGCTGTAACAGTCTGTGTTTCCGTGAGCACAGCAAGGTTTATCACAGGTACCGATCTGTCCCTCCCAGCAGATCTTGGTGGCTGCAGCCTGGCAAAAGGCAGGTCATCCTTCACCTCCACCCAGAGAAGGACAAGGGACTTTTAAAGGGTTTGTTTTGTAGTAGTTTTTTGTTGTTGTTTTAAAAGAACCTATGCATTTCTCTACCATCTTTCACTCAAAGGTTTCCTCATCTTTTCCAAACGAACCTCGCTGCCAGCAGCAGCAGTTATACACCCTGAGCAGCCAGGGGTTTGCAACAGAAATCCCTAGCCACGCTTTGAGTTTTTCTCTAGGCCTGGAAGTCCTCAGAACCCCTGATAATAATTCAAGGGACGGTGCTCCCTTCACCCCGAGGGCAGGATAAGGCACCTCTACCCAGTTCCCACCAGCCATGTCTCCTACCTGCACTGGGAGCCTGTGGCCCCCTCTCCTTCCTGAGCCTTCCCCAGCAGCCATCTCCAGCCTCCTCCACCAGGCTTCAACTCCATAACTCTTGTCCTTCCTCAGCAGGAATGGCCAGCAATGCCCCACGCAGGGACCCACTGCCAGAGCCCAGCTGCAGCCCTCTAATTCTGGGGAAAACAAGGTATTTAGGGGGTGATGCAAAGGAGATTGAGATGGGCCAGCTGCGACCAAACCCTGACCTTTAATCAGTTACCCACAGGCAGCATTTACCTGCTCACCCCCACAGAGGCCAGTCCCATCAGCTGTAATTAAGCAATCACCTGTGCTGGGTAGCTCATTAGCCTCACCCAGGTGCCCTGGCAGACCCCCATGGCCCAGCACCAACCTGAGCAGTTGCCTGTAAAATTAAAATATACTGAATTCACCAAACCACCACATAAGACAACAGCAGACTTTTTTTTCCTCTGCCTTTGACCAGACTTGTTAACTTTACAATGGTATTTTATTTGCTTTTAGGGATTTTCTGGCTTCCCGTGTTTCTGAGTGCACCTCAATTTCATGTTTTAAACAATGTTCAAAGTCAGCTGTGCTACCGGCAAAGAGCTAAACTGAGCAACAATAGCCTGTCACACCTGCCTGACGTTAATAGCAATCAAAAAGACTGATTTTTTTTGCCATGAGTGTGTGTGTGTGTGTGTGTGTGTGTGTGTGTGTGTGTGTGTGTGTGTGTGTGTGTGTGTGTGTGTGTGTGTGTGTGTGTGTGTGTACACCCAGAGGTTCCTGTTAATTTTGTTGTTATTCCCAGCAGTGGTTATTCCCAACGCTGTGTCAGAGCCCGCTGGGCTGCTATTTCTGCACCAAAGTAAGAGCTACCAGAGCTTGTAAGACAGCAAAAATGATTCTGTGACAGAAGCTGTTTGTCTCAGCAAGACTTTCACTGTTGCGGACACGCGTGGTGTGGGATCTCACCCCCAAACACGATGGAGTCAATTGATTCTCACATTTGCTGGTTCTTCCTTCCCAGCTACAAAGCTGTGACTCGAATTTCAGTGCAGACTGCCTGCAGGGGAGGCTCACATAATACTTCAGTCCTCTTCAAGCACTCTACCAAGGTTAATTGATTGCTGTTTACTTTTAGTATGTAAAAAGTATTTAACTTGTCAGCTAGTTCTAACAGTATTTGTTTTCTTTGAGATCAGATATTCTTAACCTGGTTTAAAGAAACGTGCATTCATTCTTGATAAGGCACCTCTCGTGCATCTAATTTAAGAACTCTCTATGAGTTTTTTATTCAAGGGGCCTTGCTGAAGAAAAGCAGCAGAATTCCATAAGTACAATCTATGCATTTAGCAATTTGTAATGCTTTAGTAGGTTTTGAACATTCACTATGTGAAAGTGCAGGCAGCAGGAAAAGTAATTCAACAGAAACATATGTTGAGCCAGCGTGTTTAGATAAATGAATTCCAGCTTTTAGAAATTAGAGAAGCTAATTGCAGTCTAGTTCCAGTATTTTAAAAATTCTGCTTGAAATAGAAGTGTGTTCATGTATCACTTAAAAAAATTAGAATGGAATCAAACAAAATATTCTAATATAATCTCAATGCTATTAATACTTTTAACCCAATGGTTTTGAACAATTATTTTTTTCTAATCCAAATGCTGTCTCTCACTGCTACTATATTTAAATAAGCCACTATTGAGGAAACAAACAGAAAACAGACAAATGAACTGCCCTAGTGCTCTTACAAATGGGATGCTAATGCCAGCACTCAAAGGAGAAACTGTCAAAAAGAACAGCCATAACAGAGGACATCGTTCTTACATATTTTTATTTTATTGGGTTTTTTACATTCTTTGATGGAATTTTTATGCAACTGTTGTGCCACAATCTATGACACACAATGAAAATGGAAAGCTGTCATTTACCACTTACATTTCTATGTTGATTTTGTTTTCTACCTCTGCATACATTGTGGCATAAGTGCATTTATCATATTTCATGCAGAACTGACCTGCCTGATGCAAACTGAGAATACAATAAATGGTGCCAGCAATATTTAGCTGCACTCAATTCTTGCCACAGAAACAAGCATTCATAAAAGCATTAAAACACTTCGGGTGATGGTTAATGCCTATCAGCTTAATGTTTTGAGCTACAGAAATGGACAGGAGACAATCTTTGCTGCTGTCGACTGCAGTACTTTCCAAGTTCATCAGTTTCAAAAGAGTGAGTTAGCATCACTGTTTCAATGAGAGAAAAAGCCCGAGGCAACTGGCCTGATTGAAAAGGATTCTACTGAGTTTCATGAACATTAGACAAAGTTTGGTTCTGGATCCCGTGGTAAGTACCTTAACACATCAGTTTTATGCTCTGACAGAAGGACTGTTTTTTCCATCGTCGTGTAGTCTCCAGGCCAAGTAAAGGGACAGCATAAGGCACACATCCCCCCTTTTTGGTAATCTGCTTGGACAAGTGGTACCTGATCATAGCTAAAAGTTTTTGATACAGCTTTTTATTTGGATGAGACAAGCAGCTTTCCAGCATCACCTGACTCTCTGAAGGAGGCATAAACTGTCAAGCCTTATTACGTCTCAGCCAATACAGCAGCCAGGGTAAAACTTATGCCAAGAGCACGCCCAGGCCAGGGAACTGGAGATGGGGGTGAAGCCTCATCTGTGTGTTTTCCAGTCACTTGTTATGACACATCACGGTGGCTGCTGGGGGGGTCTAGCACAACCCTCCAGGCACTGCAGGGGCACAGGGTCCTCGTGCAGGGAGTTCCTACCTCCTGCTTCAACACAGGCACGGCCATTCCTCTGCCTCCTACTACACCACCTACTCTGTTTACTGAGCAGCTCCCTCCGCCAGCCAGCAGAAAGGAGGGAAGAAGTCTCCTGCCACTACACAGTCTAGTGGTGCAGAAACCTGTAGCCACAAGGTCCACCCAGACCCAAGTTCTCCAGGGGCAGGGGGAACAGGACTTCTGGCAACACTAGTTCTTACATTAAGAGGGGAGAGGAAAGCTGTACCCACCTGCCTTCTAGCACTGCAGAGGAAGCACAAGCCGTGGCACTCCGAGACCACCCTGCTGCACGGTGTCCCCCAGGAAGCCAGGCACTATCTCCTGAGAAGAGAAACAACCCCTGCTGTTCCCTCCTCTCCAGCACCTGCTGTACATCTGCCTTACACAGAGCCAGCTCTTGGAGGCAGTTCACTTTTATGTCCATACTGAACCTACATGGCAATTGATATCCTAATTGACAAGTAAACACAAGGGACAAAAAAAAAAAATAATCAATTACTACTTGTACAAAACCACAGCATGTGCCTTTGGTCAATCAGCAACCGCTTCTTGCCCACTTTCCTCCTAACACAGAAAAAGGGTGACTATATCAGGAATTGCCACTTCAGAGTTTAATTAGTATCAGTGAGGAGATGCAAGGCAGGGATTACCACTGGACAAAGCAGAGAACCCACCACCTCCTGCACAAATACAGGTTTCTCATCCAAACACAATCTTTTTACGGGTGCTACCAGGTCAAAGAAAAGCAGAACCAAATACTTTGTTGAGGGAAAGAGTGCTCATCCAAAACAAGGATGTTGTTGTCACAGAACCCCACAGTTCCTTAATTCCCCTGATCCTGCTGATCACCCACTGCTCTGTCAGCTCTGGTCTTGTGTAGACTTCAACAATCCCCAACAACCCTTTTCTTGGTCCCTTTTATATCTGCCTTCATCACCCTCCTCCACCTCATACCTCAGCGGTCTGCACCACTTCTGCTATCACCCATAGTTACCGTGTAACCTGCCTCCCTGTGTCCAGCCTCCTCCCCACATCCCCAGGCTACATGACCATCTCCTTCCAACAACCACCGCCTGGGCATTTACCTACCAAAGTAACCAACTCTTTGCTTTTTGGTTTCATTACTCCTCTCCAACATACCTAGAAATAACTGTCAACCATTTTCCTTGTAGCAATGCATCTTGTTTCCTTTGTGCCTCCCAAACGTACTCTTTTCTTTTTCAGGGGTGTGCATAACTGTCATGCTGTCCGTGCCTGCTCTACTTGCTTACAGTAATGAGACACTGCCCACAGACTCAGACTGGAGCCTCCCTGAGCTGACACTGCATCCAGGAGACTCTTCTTGTGCCAAAGAGGTCCCAATCTAAATAGAGAAGCGACAAAAAATGGTGGAAGACAAGTTGGAATTTTTTTTTTTGTTTTCCTTATAAACTGCAAAGCAAGGTGCAGATTAATGAAGTCAGCTACTGGGTTGTTTTATCTGGTAAAGTAAAAAATACATAATTTGCAGTATTTTCCACACGTTTATTACTCGGCTGCAGTGATTTGAGAGACCACTAGTCAGGGATGGGTGGGTGGTCTGCAGTTAGAATGTCTTTCCCTCAAAGGCCTCCAGGTTGAACGCTGTGTCCAAGAACCTCCTGAGCGACACCAGATGCGTGTTCTTGTTGCCTGTGGCAGCAGCGGCCGCTGGCTCTCGGCCAACATACCTTTGTGACAAAAAGAATTGGGCAGATAAATGAGGGAAGAGAGACTATTTTGACACTAACAAGCATGAGAACATGTTGCTAAATGCATTCAAGTCAGCTTGGCAGATTCAGACATTTAATCATCAATCTTTCTTAAATAAAAATCAACCTAAGTTGCACCATCAGTTATACCTTCTGGTCAGCCTCCCCCTTTGGTTCCCCCCTTCTGTGTCTTCTCCCCAATCCCTCCCAGGGCAGCCACCTACACTGTCTAATAATTAGATAACTTGCTTTTGGCAATGAAGACTCTCGTTCCTCTGACAGCTGCAGGGGCAGATCCGAGAGTCAATCATCTAAAATAAATGCAAAGGTTGCTGGACTGAGCTCTTGCAACTATTTCCTCCAGAAACCTAATATTTTGAGTGAAATACTTAAAAAAAAAAATAATACAGTCTTAGACAACAAGTGAGAAAAATCCAGGAAAGCTATGTGCTGTGCTAAGTAGAAATAAATATAGAGCTAGTTGCTACTGGTTTTCTTCTAGAACTACAAGGATGTGCAAAATATGCATGATGTATTTGAGAAACAGTTGTCTAGACTTTTCTCTCTTTCACTCAAGAACTCAACTCAGAGGTTTTGATTTGTGAAGAACGTGACTTCCCCATCCTCAAATCAAAAACAAATTTAAAAGGGAAAAAAAACCCTAAAACTGAATTTAAAAGCAAACAAAGCAGCCCAGAAGATAGAGCAATTGTTTAAAGTCTCATACCATATAGGTCGAGTGTGGTTCACAATAGTGCGGAAACGAGGTTTGACATAATCATAATATCCACTGTTTTTGTGTTCCTCCTGACACCAAACTAGATCAGCGCTTGGGTACTTCTCAAGTTCCTCTTTCAGCAGGTCAAAGGGGAATGGTGAGATCTGGAAAGAGAGGGTAACAACTGGCAAAGCTTTCTCTTACATGGTGCTAGCCCACGGTAGGAGAAACTTTTACCTATTGGGGGTTACAACCAACCATTGTAATTAACCATTTAGTACCTAATATAATTCCCATATGTTCTTTAAAGTGAGTCACATTTCTTTAATTGAATTCATGCTGTCAGAAGTGAATACACACATATTTTATAGTTGCACCAGTATGAACAGAAGTATGTCTTAGTCCCGGTCTCCCGCTTTCCTACAGTTTTTCTAGTGAAGTAGCTGTGACAATACAAGTCCTTAATTAGTGAATGACAATAGAGCTGCAAAGGGTACTACTCACAACATTTAAACTCAGCAGATCAGATATACAAATTTGAGGTGTCATCACATTGTAACCTTCACTTTGTTACGTTGTTCTGGAAAAGTCAAGCTTTCTGGATCTCATTGTACAGATACTATCGATGTGTTCATTCTCCACAAGGGCATGAAGGATTAGTTAATGTCTTGTAAGATGCAAAGTGCTATAAAAATGCTATCACCATCCTTTCTGGCAAGTAGTATCTATTTAAAAATATACGATACCCTTGCTGAAAGTCTCCCCAAGGAACCCTGTCTTCTGAGGATCAGGGAACTCACCTGCTCAAGTCTGGTTATAGCTACTTGTTTCTCCAGGTCTTGATTCTTTCTCTCTTTCACAAGATCATAGTACACTTTTCCTGTGCAGAAAATCACTCGCTTGACTTCATGTGGTGCCTGAGCTGCCAGCCCGTTCTCGGGAATCACGCGTTGGAAAGTGGTACCTGGTTAGAGCACAAATCAGGAAAGTGCTCTCAGTGGAACTGACATCGTAATAAAGCAGCCCAAGAAGCAGTCCTTTTACTGAGCAAGCAGCAGGTTGCAATGCTCACAGGCTTCTGCTACTTCTCTATTCTTACTTTTCAGACCACTAATTACGCTGAAGTGACCTTCAGCAGTTTAGTTGCAAGAAGTTAAAAGATTGTCAATAATCCACTCTTTCACACTTAACAGACAGAAAGATATTAACAATGGTTCTTTTTTAGCTTTGTGTTGTGCATAACACCTTTAATTTTAAATTGACTGGGTAGTTCACCCTTGCTTACAGCCTTTTTTTTCCCAGAGAAGCACCTGAAATATCATTTCTTCTTTCCACACCGATCTCCAACAGGTAACATTAATATAGGTTTAGAAAATTTTAGAACGTTTTTATATAAAAGCATAACACATAATGCAACTAAATCTGGCAACTGCAGAAATATTTACACAAGCTCACATATTACTGCCATATATTTACGTGATTCAAACCTCTGTTTGAGAGCTAAAATGCCATTAGCAGCCAAAGAAAGAATCAGCACAGTACAGAGCTGTATGTACAAGTGATAAGACACAATTTCAGATGCACATCCTCACTGCTAGATCTCTTTTCCCCTGTTATATCATCTCCCAGGAGAACAATTTGCTTGGGATACATGAAACTGGAAGAAGGACTTGATGGTCTAAAAGATGCTTTTCTTTGCTCTCTTATATGATTGATTAGAACTATTCCCACATTAACCAACTGCAAGGCAGCAGACAGTGGCATGACCTCCCGGTCTGAATCAGCACACCCACTTACCAGGAGAATAAGCTCCTGTTTGAACCATTTATCTTGGGGGGGAGAAAAGCAGCAGCACAAACATATGAAAGAGGAACTGATTTATGTCAGAATTATCCTGTCTCACTGAACAGCAGAATTCATCATTAAAAAAGACTGAATCTGCGCTTCATTGGGTCAGCTGGAATCAGTATTCCTCTCCTCCTCAGCTTTCCATTAAAAATCAGAGCAAACAGAGTGAGCTGACAGTCAGCAATACTTTACTGCTTGCTTCCTCTTCAGCAGTAACATGAAAGTATGTCAGAATTCAATCTTAATTAGAAGTTTGGCCACTATTGAGTGTTAGCCTGACGTAGAGGGGACTCCCAAGACAAAGTGACAAATCCCTACAGAATTTCTACCCTGACTCATTCTACAAAGCTTTTAAACAGTAACCAAAGCCAGCAAATGCCTTTGCTTGAGAAGCAAACTTTGCTCAACTACAAAAAGGAGATAATACACTATTTAAACATTTTTAAGCACTGTAACCTGCTTTTTAAAAAAATTGGGCAGTTACTCTTTTCTGACAGCAGTCAAGCCACCCGGGAGATCACCACACCTTTAATTACTCACTTGCTACGTTTCACCACATTTCCTTGTGCCACTCTAACATGTTCTAACCAGTGCATGGCAAGACAAAGCACTCCAGTTTTTGGGATTACCTCTGCAGCTGCTGCATCCCTCTGGGTGCTGATGGCACGCCAACAGCAGTTAGGGTGGCAGCCTACAGCTCTCAACTCACTGATCTCACTTTACATCCCTGGTGTGACATGGCAGCCCCAGAACAGAGTGCTGTAAGAAGAAATAGGGCCCTCATTCTTCCAAACAGGCACACTGTGACAACAACCTATCCCTCACATCTCAGGGGACAGTACAAAGAACAATTCAATTTTTATATGAAGAGAAAAAGAGCAGAGAGACCTAAGAGCCTGTGCAGGGGAACAACCCTGCAGAATGGGGAATGCACTTTCTACTGCCTTCTAAGATTAATGGCTGGTTACAAGATAAGCCTGTTAAAAATAAGAATTCATACTTGAAAGTAGATTTTTCAGCAAAAGTCCATGCTAGATCTCACTACAAAAGCTCCACTGAAATTACACCAAAGGCAAAGGCAAACTTTCCAGAGCAGATTCTCTTTTCCAGTCTGACACGCAACGCAGTGTAGCTAATTATTTGTCTGTAATATTTTAAGGTGTGACCTACCAGACACCATTTCATCAAAACTGGATTTAGCTTCTGGATGCCTCAGCAGTGACTTGGGTGTCAAAACAATCAGCTGTAAGACAGAAATTTTTCCACGCTCAGGAGCTGGTTGATCTACATTATCACATGCAACATTTGTAATACTGTTCATATAAAAATCACAAACTGAATATGCTACAAATGAAATTCATGTGAATAGCAAACACAGTGAATTATTTGTTCCTGTTTTGAAAGCCTAGGAAGTTTCAAAATTGCTCAAAAGATTTGGGTAGTTCACTCCCTTTAAAGGTTCTCAAAAGCCATTACTTGTGCTTCTCTTTGAGAACAAAATGAAATCACAGGCTATGAATCAGTAAAATATCCAACAGTTTATCTTAGGTTTTTGAAGTTCCAGCAATTAGACATGCAAATTACAGTTATGCAACCTGTTAGCTACACAGTGTCTTGACAAGCTCATCTGAAGGTCTGCACCCCCAGAGGGAAGTAAAGCTGAAAATCAAGTTTTAGAACCATAATAAGTCAGAGCTGAGCTTCATTCCGTCAAATCAGTGACTTCAACTTGTGTTCAATTAACTCTTTTCACCAATGATTCTTTTTCCTTTCAGCAGTATGGTCACATGCAAACACAGACCCCTCTTTACGTGAGGGTTAATATACCTCAAATGATTAAGCCCATTACAGTAACTTTACCGGTTTTCTGAATGGCAGCAAGATCTGTCTTCTGAGGACGTGAAAGTAATTGGCTGGAGTTGAACAATTCACCACAATCCAGTTGCATTCATACAGCTGGGAAACTTCAAACTGTTCACTGAACTCCTGAGAGAGACATTAAAGGCATTAGAAAAGTGTCCAGAAGATGAGAAAAAAAGGCTTGAAAGTCATCCTTCTATTTCTGACTCTAAGCACCTCCCTTCCACAAAAATCTTAATTAGCAGATCTATGATGAGATTATTCTATTAGCTAGGGAAGCATCCCTACAAATCATTCTCTTGTTTCTACTTTTTCCTAAAAATGTATGCAAATAAAGGCAAAAAGCTTTCATTGATTTCATCAAGCTGGGAAGTCCAGGAAGGAAAGGTGAGGAGGACTAGGGCTTCAGTAGGTGGAAGACATGAAATAGAATCCCTTTGAAAGAACCTTAAAACTATAATTCATTTTTTGAGTGTATAGTCTCTATACCGTTTTTTGGCAGGTGTCCTACCCTCTTATACTATTTTAAGATATAAGTTTCATATGTTTATGTATTTTACAAGTATAGGGTGGGTTTTTTTAATCCATATCTATGTACATATACATTAGCTAAGCATACACATAGGTATAGGTACAATAATGTCATTACAGAGTGGTACAGCCCTTAACATGATTTCCTGGTTCATGGTTTGAGCTCCTACCTTCTATGATGAAACGTATGACTTGCTTATTATGCAAAATTGACAATACTTAAATGTAGTCAATCAAACATCTTTATCTGACAGTACACTGACAAAAATCACTTCTAGCTGAGGAAGGCCATGGCTTTGGAACTCTCATTGCTCCAAAGGTAACAAGCTCAGGGCCAAAACTAACACATATATTTTATTTTGCTTTTCAATTAATGTACAGCAGCGTTTCTTAGGAAATTGGCAGTGGGGAAGTGGATGCCCAGTATCCTGCAGAGCTATGTACTTTGCCTGTAGAAATGAAAGACCAACAGATAAAGGTCCTAGCTGAATCAAATTTAGAAGTTGCTTATTTTCATACTCCCAGCAGTACAACGTATCTCCACTGCAAAAAGGCAGGAGCAGTCTCACTTGACCTTCCTTAGAAATTAGCTGGAGACACCTATTTGCAGGACGCACAGCAATAAAAACAAGAAGAATCACTGGCCCTGAGGAACAGCCGTAAAAAGATCCTGCTGCCAGAGATTAATTGTATATGACCTCAGCTTTGAAATGAAGCAGCACGTACTGTGCACTTCCATTACTTTTTCTGGGATCAAGTTAATGTTACACCAACTCTTGAAGCTAAATATTAACCCACTATACCTAGCTAAAAGGATGCTTCTTACAAAAAAAAAAATAATCTGAGACATGAAAAGCAAAAAAAAGCCTTTGAAAATCTCCTTACTGGATAAGTAGATCTACTTACTGGATAAGCATCAGAATCGTCATTGCTCATCTGCAGAAACCTCTCGGGCCTGGCTGATGAATGCTCGGGACCCTGGTAAAGGTATCATTTAAAACAACATTAAGAAGCCAAATCAGCAATTAGACATCAGTCCAGGTCACTCGCTGCAGAAGCACCACCCGTCACCCTGTCAGCTCTGCACCAGGCTGCACACCTGCCCCCCAGACAAAGGCAGCAACAGCAGCAGCCCTGAGAGAGGGGAGGACACACCGCAGGACTGGAATTTCATGGGAAAAGATTAGGTTTTACATGGATTTCCAATGCTTCTACCAGCTGCAACAAATTTCCTCAGTATAGCTGCACAGTGAAGACCAGTGAAGGGGCAGTAGGTCCATGTGGGCACAAGAATGACCTTGCAAAAAGGAGCCAGAGGAGCATCAGGAGGACAAACTCTTCACACGTCTGTGGGCCAAACCACACTTGTGTGCAGAACAGGAGCAAACACACCGGTAGCTGCTGACTGCCTTCGCCATAGCACAACGAGCAGACACAGGACCTCTCTCCTACCACTGCTCACTGTTCAGTTCAGGACAAAATAACACAGGCAAATGCTTCAGCTAAAATGGATCAAAATACACATATGCATTATCTGCTAAACAAGCCTAGGATTAATTTCTGCCTCCTCAGGAGGTATTTTACATTCTGTCAAAGCACTGAACACGCACATCCACTGTCTCACTAGCGGTACCCGAGGTACTTTCTTTTAGTGCACAAAGGTTGTTAGATCCATGTTACACTAGCAAAACATGCACTCTGGTCACAGACAACATCAGGAGTAAGGAGTGTAGCAGAATCTTCCCTCTCATGTCCTTGTTTATAAAGGATGAGAGAAAGCTGTGAGGAGTACAAGAGTGCAGTGTGCTTTTTTATTTATTGCTAATGCTGGCAGCCTTTGTGTGTTCATGTGACAGTTACTGTTAGGAAGGACTTTCATTTTGGAGACAGTTGCAAGGTATTTTAACCTGAAGACAAACTGTTACATCTCTCAAATCTCTCCAAGACTCCTAAGCTAACAATCTTCACAAAGAGTTGTGTTTTTTTTTTAAATATGGCTGTCTCTCATCATAACTTCCTCTATTGAAACCTTAGTGTATGATCTCTAAAATCACTCATTATTTTGACGGCTAGTAGTCCACTTGGATTCAACACATCATCCTCCCTGCTTCCAAGTGCAGGATTCACTCTACTTCACAGACTAAGGAAATTCAAAAGGAAAAAACACTCCACTAGCAACAAAGGAGTAACACAAACAGCCAGGAACCGTGCCTTGCATAATTACTTTTCTGAAGTCTGTCTACACTTTTGAGGTGCCAAATAATGTGGCCAGAAATGGGTAAGGGCTTGAGAACAAGAGGCAAAGCTGCACAAAACTATGGTGCACGGTAAGAGCCCAATCTTGCAACAGCTCTGCTGTAAATCAAATCCTACACTAAGGAGTGCCTACACACGTATGGCCGTGGTGCTCCACAACGCTGGAAACAGAGATGTTACCAGCAAACAATTACAGGAGAGACACGTGAGGCTTCCCTGACAAACACACACACACTGCCCCAGCAACAACCTCAATCCAGAGCTTTGGTGTTCACATCGATCTTCGATTTCCCTGCTGACACCACCAGTCAGGCTGCAGGCAACCGCTGCCTGGGATGGGGCAGGTTTTATTTCTACTGTGACCACCTACCCAGTGAGACCTACACTGAATCCATTAGCTACTTTCAGACGAGTCCCTGAGGAGCCATTAGGCAGCAGAGTCTTTCAATCACAGCCAACTTGCCTGTGAATGCATGACCTAGAGGTGAAGGGATCCATATCCCATTACGGATCCTTCCCCAAATCATTCTGTCCCCAACACTGTAGTTAGAGAGAGAATAACACTCCTGTCATGGAAAGCTCCTCTGGGAAGGTAACAGATTTCAACAGCCTGGTGGGATTCTTAAATATTCCAAAAACACCTGACGCTGGTAGCAAAATAAGCATGTTTCAGAAGATCTGGGCAAATCTTAGCTGCCAAGTGGCTACAAGAAAAGAAATGTTAACTGTATTGTAAGTAGCAGAGAACCAGCTCCCTTCAGCTGAGCGCTTTCCTGCAGAGGACCACACCTCCCAAAGAGGGCACATTCAGGCTGTCCCTCAGGATTCATTTAAAAAAAAATTAATTTATCAAAACGCTGGTGAACAGCACCAGACCCTTTATTCTTAGCGCAGAAATGAGCATGGAAAGCTGTTCATAAGATATGAATGCACCCCAGTATATCAGAACAGGATTATAATTGGATGGAAATAAACTAAATTGTTTGCGAGAATGGAAATGACGCAGTTTGTAGTGAAAGGGTCTAGAGCATTCATACAGCTGGAGATTGCCACTGTGCCACATACTAGACTTTTCTTAATAGAAAACTGGAAACATACATGCACCAATTCATGAATGTTAATTCATTTGAAAAGGAAAAAATTAACCTAGCCTGACATGATGGTCACATAACCTTTACAAATTATTTAAAAGATTTGAAGAACAATTCTACTGCTGATATGAACTTCATATAACATTATATACAGAGCTCACCCATGCCCTTTCCCTCTACGACACTGTCTCATACCTCCTCCTAGCCACAAAAGGGACTCAACAGCTGGGGGAAACATTTTCCTTTGCAGAAAGCGGGAAATTTCTTATTATATCAAAGTTACCCAATGCCAACAATTTTTGAAGAAGTTTTAAAGTTTTTTCATATCATTTCATTGCAAGTGAATTCAGTGCAGAGTTTACACAGACATACTTCATGCAAAATAAAACCAAGCAAGTACTGCTAGACACGAGTGATTTCTTTCTTACTGTATACTAAGAATCTGGCTTTCTAGGGAAAGAAGGCAGTGTTGTAGGGAAAGATATAAAAAAACAGAAAAAAAAATGGGGAAACATGGTACATGCCACTAAAAGGACAAAAAGCTAAGAGCTCAGAAATATTTCTCAGTTGTCTTTGGTTCTCACCGATCAATCTATCCACATTCTTTTCTGTAGCACTGAAGCAGTGCAAAGTGCTAACCAGTGCCTTCCTCCCCCCAGCTTCGTGTCACCATCAGATCCCCAAGACACCTTTGGCTTTTACAGCCCCAGCGTTTCCCTCCCGCATGTGGCAGCCAGTGGCCCTCACCATTCCTTCCATTCCGTGTGGCAAGAGCAGGACGATCCCGTTGTGACGGACCCACTTGGCCTGGCCGGAGCTGATGAACTGGTCTATGATGCACTGCGCCGTGTTGTGGAAGTCACCAAACTGGGCCTCCCAGCACACCAGGGCGTTGGGACTCGCCATAGCAAAGCCAAGTTCAAAACCTGAGAACCAAGCAAGTAGGAGGATTAGAAAGGAAACAGACTTGCTGAGAATTCTGTTCATTTCTCATTTTAAAAAAAAAAAAAACAAGATAAAACCAAAATGAGATAATGAACTGGATTTTTGTAGCCCTGTTATAAATCGTGCAGTTTTTAGTAATACCAATTCCATTAGAAAGATTAGCAAACAGTGTTTTTCCAATATTGACTCCAATCCTTCAAACTCTTCCTCAAACACTTAAATATCCTAGGAGTTTTTAAATGAACTAAACCCCCTCCCTTAGCTAGGCCTTTTGTCTGACATTTTCCTGAGACGTCACCGAGGTAAGTGCCATCTTTTCCTGTAATAAAACTCTTACAATCCAGTACTAGTTCAAGAAGCTACTTGTTAATTTTATTACTTGCACAGCCCTGCACAACACTGTCTTCTTCCCCACCCCCCCCCTATGCAGGTGCTGAATAAAATTATCGGTGATATCAATATTCAGTCTATAGGCAGGATCATAGACCTCAGATCTTCAAAAAAAAACCTTCAACATAAGAGGTGCATGGGAGATGCACCTGGTATTTGGGTACACAGTCCTTTCTTTGGGAGGGTTAAGGACCCGTTAGGTCTCTGCCTCAGCAGCAGAGATGAAAACCAAAGTGCTCTTCATGGGGAGGACACCCACTACAAGAAAGACATTGAGGTGGTGCAGGGTCTGGAGCACAAGTCTTATGAGGAGCGGTGGGGGAACCTTCAGTAAAAAACAGTGCTACATAGCACTGCTCTGGATGGAAATGTTCTGACTGAGGGAAAACTGACTCAATATACATAGAAAATAAATATTTGATGGATAAATAGGTTTTAAGTTGAAGTTTTTAAGTTCTGCACAGAATGTAATGATCTCTTCTCAAATACAGAACTGTAACAGGTGAGACAGAAGAGAACAGCATGTAGCACATACAGCACGAGTTACTTTAATGTTACCAGTGCAAGGTAGTTGACCTAGCTACGGAGAAAGATTTCAGGATCAAGTCAAACCTATTTAAACCTTCTTTATCCTTTTTCACTTTTGTCCAACTTTTACTTTACATTCACTATCAGAGAGACGCTCAGAGCTCTCTTAAGATTGAGGTCTTTGTGTGCTGGATGCCACAAGCATACACACCCAGTTCCTTCCCTGAATGTTCTGCTGTAAGATTGGAAAAAATAGGAGGAAAAAAAAAGTGAAGGACAGGCATTTGCACCTTATAAAATTGAGAACTAATGAACATGCAGTTACATGAAATTTAAACTAACTTGTCCAGTTCCACAAAGAAAACACTCATCAAAACTAGTGAGATTAGTCATGTAGCAAAGAAGTCCCTCTGTAACACGAACTACAAGAAACGTCCTTCCAACACTTGACATGAAGTTTTGACCTAGGTCGTCTGTGGCTCTTCACTCAACATCACTACACAAACTTTCCTGGAAGGTTAGTGGAAGGACAACTGCAGGACAAATTAACTGCATGAGAGAAAAAGCAACAAGAACTTCAAGTGAAATTGTTTATTCACAGAGAAAACAGTTTTATGTATTGTTTTTATCTTCATAGGCTGCTCCTTGGTAACTCCAACCCAACTTCTTGTTTACCATCTCCACGGCAAGAAAGCTTTGAGTCACTGGGCTTCTGGACTGCTGAACTCTGAATAGTCCATCTATGACTCCAGCAGATGCTCATTTTCACACCAAAATGCAACTAGGATGTCAGAGGCCAAAAGGAGACTGCTAAGTCAGGCTTTCAGCTGTGAGTCACCATGACAGGGCACTGCCAGAGAGAATGGCTTTGCTGACCAGTCCTTTGGTCTGACTGCCTGAACAGCCTTTCTTTCACAACATATTTTAAATCTCTGTCCTCCTTACTTGTGTGATTCTACTTTTTTTTTTCTAACACAATGCAAACAGTGGAAAAATTTACACAATTCCTTCAGTGCATTTTCCCAAAGGTATCTGAAAAATAGATTTCCCTAGATAGGCTTGAATCCCATTCTAATTTTACACAAGCATTAAGAGACCATTTCTACTGATTGCGTGACATGCTTGAGAAAATATGCAATATGTTCAAGACTTATTTGCGCATATGCTGCTCTCTGTAAGGATGGGGTAATCTAGCTTTTAGAGAAGAACAAGCTGAAGTCTTGACTACTAAGAGTTATCAATAATCACAAAGTGCTTTTCAAAGAGCATGGAGCACTGTGCATATTTAAAACCTGGTCAGAGCACGCACATAATTCTGTTCCAGATACCAAAATCACCCCCAAAACCTACATGGAAGAAAGAAATTTCTCATTGCCTATTTTGTTGCCCACTTTTTGCTAATGGTCTTCACAAGGTGACAATGTCCCAGCTCCATTGAAAGGTGTGATCCTAACACACATACCTTTTATAAGCTTTTTACAGCCATAAAAATATCCGAGAAAATGTATCCAAATGTAATCTATACATTCTGATTAACATTTTGAAATAAATTCTGACAAGACTACCATTTCAGGGAATATGTGTCTGTGGTGTACTCATCTTTGGTATACCAGCACTCGTCTTCCACCAGGCAAATGACAAATGACAATGAGAGATCCTCACACTAAAGCTATTCCACCAGGGATTATAGCGACTGCTAGGGACTCTGTCAAGAATCACGACTCCTGCCTGCACGTGGAGAAAATTGTTTAAAAGAGCAAAATCTGAACTACTACATTTAAAAAATAAATTATTGGTGGAAAGATGCCTAGACAGATGCCAGGTGAACAATCCAGGAGAGGGTTGAGGTGCTTAACCTGAAAGGGATTTGTTGGGGCACCAGATGAGTCAAGGTCAGGGAAGATGACCCGAGGCAGAAAGACTTCACAGTTCTAGAGATGGGACATGAACTGCAGGGGAGCAGGCTCCCACCCAGGCCTCACATCAGGGCTCAACCTCAGAGCAAAGGGTTAAAAAACAACCCTGCAGCAGAGAACTTGAAAACTTTTATTATTTGTGTCTGCAGGACTAGAACCGAACATTTCTGAAGAACGCAGTGCAAACTTTGTGAGTTTCAAGGCTTAGTTCTTACACAGCCAGAAACACAGCGAACAGGTTTAAGCTGTGAGGAAATCCAGTGCCAAGACAACCAGGCGGCGAGACGTGGCTTTCAGAGAATGACAGGTAAAGAATCTGCAGAGCCACGGGGTGGCAGGGAGCCAGAGAGCCACCAGCCAGCTCCTGAGCACCAGGCGGCCGCTCAGGGCTCAGAGCACACCGGGGCCCAGGGCCCAGCACAGCGGTTTGGTAACCTTCCAAACGCAGGGGAGAGGGGAAAGAAAAATACGCAGCACTTGACTAAGGTTGCAAAACTAATGTTTTAACTGCCGAAGTTCATTAAGGTCCCTAGATGACAGGCATAGCAGAAACGCTTGTTTCTATTAGCCCAGTTCCTGCTGTGCTCCCTTACTGTTCTGTCGTCACTCTGGCAGGGAAAAAGGTGTTGTCAAGCAAAGTGGCAGCTTACACAGCATATTATGCTGTGTTTTTCCCCGCAGCACTTTTCATGATTGTCATAAGAACTGTAGTTTTTCAATTAACGTAAGTAAAGCTACAGCTTAATTCAATATGATTTCAAAGTGACTTAAGGCACGAATGTTAACTAATTATTATAGAGGGCTTCTCAGTGCAGGGATTTACTGTCAGAATGAGGAAAGTTACAAAGACAAATCTGTGCTATGTTTAACAGAAAATCTAAGCGCAGTGACTAATGTAGGGACATGCATCCTTCCACAAACCCAAACACAGCCCAGGAGAAAGTGAAGTTAATACCCATCTGGTGGCTGACTCCATTAAAGGGAAAGACTGATGCCTTCTCAGAGGTCCATGAAGATGCCATTGAGGACTCAGTCCTTGGTTACTACAGTCTGTCCTATTTTCTAACACAATTTCGGACAGGTAGTTGTATTTGCTACTCCTAACCTTAAAAGTATGTTTTTCTGAATGAGTACTAATACTATATATTTCATCTTAGGAAAAAAAAAAAGAGAGACGTTTAAATCAATACCTGTCCTCTTCCCCTCATCTTTTGCTTTAAACATGAACTTCCCCCTAGAAAAAGGTGAAAAAGGCGTACTCCATGTCTCATGGTTGAATTTGCTGAGCTTCATACACACTAGTTCCACGTACCCCATGTCTCATGGCTGAGTAATTTGCTGAGCTTCATACACACTAGTTCCAAGTCTCTCTTGCCTGGATGTTCCCTGGAAGTTCCCAGCACGGGATGCTACAGCCCGAGACCTCTCAAAGCCAGTACTGAACCTGACAGAGAATCACACCTCCTGGATGGAGAATCAACACTACACAAGTCATTCAGAGGGCAATTAAGAAAGACAGGAGATCCTTTCAAGTATTTAAAAAAATTCTGAAGAGGTAACATGGAGTGCCTGTAAGTTACTTTTGCTCTTCTCCTCTGTCTCAATCAGAAAATAAACTCAAACTTCTTTGGTTAAATGACTTCACACAGCCATCACTTATATTCCCAGACATTCAGTTTCAGGAAAAATTTATAGCCAGATGAGCGGATGGACAACTAAGTTGTAATAATCTGGATATAGCTAAAAATAGTAGACATAGGATGTCAAACAAAATTAGAGGTTGTTAAATACTCTGATTTAATGCCTCAGTACACACACTCCACAGCTTACTGTATACAAAACATAAGCAACTGTTTGAACTGCCAGTTAACAAGACTGCCTTTGTTTTATTTCTAAGTGAAATCAATCTTGTCAGAGTATCATTTTAATGGAGCAGTTACACCCCAGGGGTTCCTAACCAGCTGAACAATAACCTGGTGCAAAGCTCACAGCTCTGAACAGATGCCAGCTCTTGGCTTGTGTACTTGCCAAAGAAATAATCTGTAGTTTTATCGTGCTGGGCTGTTCAATCCATTTTTACTTAGCTCTATTTCACAGAAACTAAGGGAATTCCCAAAATGCTTCTGAGGTGTTGCCTGTTAATGCAGTCATAAATTAAAATTTTAACTTTGTGGGTTTTTTATATATATATCCCCTTACAACCCTCCCACCCCCCCTTTTAATAGGCTTGCGAGGGTGGTGAGACACTGGAACAGGTTGCCCCATCCCTGGAGGGGTTCAAGGCCAGGCTGGATCGGGCTTTGATCAACCTGCTCTGGTGCGACCTGTCTCTGCCCAGGTCAGTGGGTTGGAACTCAATGATCTTTAAGGTCCCTTCCAACTTAAACCATTCTATGATTCTATGAAATAGCACTTAGAGAAAATAAAGTGTTGGGGGGTTTTGCTACTCCCAAAGAATCAACTCCTTAAACCACAAATGTTCACTTATTCTTTCACATACTAAAAAGGAGCCGCAGTGATGTTACCAACCAAACAGGCAACAATTCTAATAGCTCCTCTTTGACTGAGACGCTTAACTAGAAGAAACATATTCACACACTGCTGCTTACCCCAATACCGTCTCTCTATGGACACAAACCACAAGAGTAAACATGCTGGAGAAGGTTGATTAGTAAAAGCTAGCAAGGGAGAGGAAACTTAATTATAAAATCACTTCAACATAGAAACATGGCATTTTTAGTTAAAAAAGAATAATCATCTCTCATCAACTATTTCTATCAATTTAATCTCCTTTACTGTTAGAAAACATCTCAGACATGAGGGATTTAAAGTTCTTAATTAAAAATATCAATAGCTAGTTTTGGAGAACCTGTCATCACATCTGCTGAAGCAAAATTGCACAGAAATGGTGCTCTTGTTTTCAGCGCATGAACAAACCCATATTTTGCCCTATTGCTTGTATTCAATGAAAGTTATTAAATCAACATTCACATTTCTACTGCTGGGGAAGGAGGAAGAGCAGTAGTGAGCAGGATGAGATCCAGAAAGAAGGAAAGATTGACTACTTGGCTGATTTTTTAGAATTGAGGCAATAAGAATTGTTCTTAACACCACATCAATACCGGGCTTCCTAGACCTACTGAGCTGTAATTTTCGGAACAAGATCAGATTTCAACCATATCCATACATTTGTCACTTTCACATCTGGGTACATTATTTGAATGCAAAAAAAATGAGCCCAGAAACCTATGACTCACCCATAAAATTTGCAGCAACGCTGTAAACAGGCTCAAGTTAAGAAACCCCAGACTAAACTATGAGAAACAACAGAAACTGGAAACAAACAAACAAACAAAACCACTCTCTGAAATTAAATTCTTGCTTTTTATCTATGCCAATTATTTCTCTTATGTTTATACACATTGTCTTTTGCACTCTCCTATTTAGAATTTGAATTTACGTGTCACTATATTAGCTTAGAGAGATACAAACTTCTGTTGACACCAATTCTGCCACAGAGCTAACAAAAAGACCTAAAAAGTCTTAGCTCTTCAGCCCATGCTCCAACTGTACAGTTTTACACCATTTTAATTTTAACATTATTAGCAGAAAGTAATATGTAGCCTATGTTGTGCTGGGTTTGGCTGGAGTAGAGTTAATTTTCTTCCCAGTAGCTGGTCTGGGGCTGGTTTGGATTTGTGCTGGAAACAGCATTGGTAACGCAGGGATGTTTTTGTTCCTGCTGAGCAGCGCTTGCACAGAGTCAAGGCCTTTTCTGCTCCTCACCCCACCAGCGAGTAGGCTGGGGGTGCACAAGAAGCTGGGAGGGGACACAGTGGGACAGCTGACCCCAGCTGACCAAAGGGACATTCCACGCCATGTGACACCGTGCTCAGCACGTAAAGCTGGGGGGAGAAGAAGGAAGGGGGGGACACTCGAAGTTATGGCATTTGTCCTTCCCAAGTAACCATTACATGTGATGGAGCCCTGCTCCCCTGGGGATGGCTGAGCACCTGCCTGCCACTGGGAAGCAGTGAATGAATTCCTTGTTTCACTGTTTGCATTCACAGCTTTTGCTTTACCTATTGAACAGTCTTTTTCTCAAACCATGAGTTTTCTCACTCTTACCCTTCCAATTCTCTCCCCCATCCCACCAGCAGGGAGTGAGGCTTGGTTGCTGGCTGGTGTTAAACCATGACATATGTAAAAAGGACAATATGATCAAATATTTCTGGAACTTTAAAGCAAGCAGCTATCAATTATCATCTTTATCTACTACAGTGTTTCATCTTTTTCTATCACACTAGCTCTGAAATGGATATGTAACAATATTTCATTATTTATCCATAGAATCAATAAAATTTTTGATAAATTATTAGAGGTATTTGTTTTGTGCTGCACATTCCTCGTGCCACCCTCATCATGTCAGAGTGAGGTTATCCATTCTCTGCGGCTGAAGCTAAAATATCTGTCGAGTACCAAAAGTATAATTCACTATGATTAATACTACCACTAACAAGAATTTGTTTTCTTGAAATAGCACCATTCAGAATAGCAGTGCAAATAAGGCTAGGATAGATTTTTATATCTGTATTACAAAGTGCCCCCGATTTTGTTGACAGTTCCTCCCCTTTTGAAAAAGCATTAGGTGCATGTTCCAGCACTGCCAGGATCAGGCACAGCAGATGGACACTTTCAACTGAATCCCATAACTGCAAAGTGTTTAAGAGATGCCAGAACCTGAGAGGGAGAACTTTGATACCCGTTTCATATATAACTGGCTCACATCTTTTTTTCCACATTCTCCTTCTTGCTGAGCTCTGCTTCTCATATAGCTATGTTATTCTTTAACATTCATCTTCTGTCATTACTATGTAATTTCCTGTTGAATACTAATGAGACCAATGCTAACATATTCTGTGACTTTTCCATCAAAAGATGCCTAAGTCTGTAAGTTTACATTTTTGAAGTACAAGTGTGTCCTAACCAGCCTAACAAATAGGTGTAGCATCTGAAGAGCACAGAAAGTTCTGTACCACAAACACACTGAAATCTGCAAATTCATATGCTGGAAACCAAAGGTAACACATTAAAAAATTAAAGAAAACAAAAAAAAAAAAACCAAGACCACAAACAAACACCCAGTTGAAGTTTTCCCTTCTATTTTTTAATTTATGCTATATCACCATTCAGAGGAGCAGTTCAAATAAGGCTAGGATAGAGTTTTATATCTGTATTACAAAGTGCCCCCGATTTTGTTGACAGTTCCTCCCCTTTTGAAAAAGCATTAGGTGCATGTTCCAGCACTGCCAGGATCAGGCACAGCAGATGGACACTTTCAACTGAATCCCATAACTGCAAAGTGTTTAAGAGATGCCAGAACCTGAGAGGGAGAACTTTGATACCCGTTTCATATATAACTGGCTCACATCTTTTTTTCCACATTCTCCTTCTTGCTGAGCTCTGCTTCTCATATAGCTATGTTATTCTTTAACATTCATCTTCTGTCATTACTATGTAATTTCCTGTTGAATACTAATGAGACCAATGCTAACATATTCTGTGACTTTTCCATCAAAAGATGCCTAAGTCTGTAAGTTTACATTTTTGAAGTACAAGTGTGTCCTAACCAGCCTAACAAATAGGTGTAGCATCTGAAGAGCACAGAAAGTTCTGTACCACGAACACACTGAAATCTGCAAATTCATATGCTGGAAACCAAAGGTAACACATTAAAAAATTAAAGAAAACAAAAAAAAAAAAACCAAGACCACAAACAAACACCCAGTTGAAGTTTTCCCTTCTATTTTTTAATTTATGCTAAAATGTTAAAACTAAAATATGCATTAAAAAAAACCCCATGATAGCACACTGTAGGAAAAAACCCAAGAGTTTGGCTTGAAGTTTATGCTACAACAAGTTTTTAAAATACCTTCAAGATCAGAAGGTGACAAGGGACAAATCTTAGAATGAGCAGGGTAAATGTACTGAATCTCCTGGTAGAACTACTTTTTTCAAGGGGTAAGCTGGGGAAGAAATCAGTTTAGGCATTTTGACTGGATTTTAGGTCCCTGTTCTGCAATTTCTAGCTTCCACTTGACACAAAACTGCTATGAATATGATCATGTCAAAATACAACAAAGGCAGAGTTTGTTTGGTTTTAAATGCCTCTAGCAGAAGGAGACTTTTGTTCGTTTGTTTTTAGGCTTGGCAAACTCAAGTTACAAAGTAAAACTCTGTAGTCAGGAGGGTCAACAACATTAAAGCAAAATTGGAAAAACATTCCTCTTAATTAGCAGTCATCAGTTGCTACACCTTGTTTGAGACCTATTAAAACACAAGCAGATCTGTCAGAGAGTTACCCCCAGCCATACCTAGGACGCCGTACTCGGAGAGGGAGCTGTTGCACACCGTGTAGGGGGCCTGCTGCTCCCAGAGGTGGTTCATGGGCACACACGTTCTCTTGTCAACCTCTTGATCATGAAGCACGTGATGACGATGGCTGCAAATAGGCATTGAAAGAAATTCGTTAGCTAAGAACAACTTTGGGCTTCAGCAGAGCTGTTTTCAAAGATACACCACCAAAGCTACGTTCTAAAAAGCATGCAAACACCACGGGTACCTTTGCTTTACACAACACCCTGGTTTGGCTGAAACCTAGCGGTACCATCGCACGTCTAAATACAACTGCTGCACTGTAAGGACTTCCACTGACTGCCCAGGCTGGTTCTCAGGCACTCATGGAAAAAGAAAATACCTCATCACTAGTAGAAGTCCAGGGCAGAGGGGAAAGGCTGGGGAGGTTGTTACTGTAAAACAGAGTGATTAAAGGGGAAAAAAAAATGAGAAAAAACAAAGGGAAAAAAATATTTTTATTAAAAATATTTCACTCTGCCTCCCTGGAAAATCCTACTGATCTTTTCCTTAAAACAACTGTTATTTGTCTTTTATGCAAAAATTTAATCTAATCTCAGCACCAAGAGTTGAAGCAGTTATATCCTCCTTCCTGCTATTTCCACTGGCATGCACCATTTACAGTTCTCTAGAACACCATTAATCAGCATTAGAATGGGGCACCGAGGAACACTACCAAAACAGAGATGACTGAAGTAATTACTGTAATCCATTAACTCTCTGAGCAGACTAACTGAGTGAATCACACCAATATGTCCAGCTTTACAACTGCTAACATAAGGACAGTTATTGTACTGGTAACAACTACTGTGTGCTGTGTAGCTGCCAGCACCGAAGCCAAGGCTGAATCTTTTTGTGCTTCCCTTTTCTATAATGAATGCTGGCAAAAGAGCTCTCAGACATATTTAGAAATCAACAATATACGGCCAGGAAAAGTCAGAATATCTTTGAAGAACAGCACAGGGAGGGAGGTAGACAGGGGAAAATACACGTACCAGAGAGCGGATAGGCAGAAATAATTTTTGCCACTTTGATTTTAATTTTGTCATTCAGCTGAAGACAGAAGGCCTAGCTAGGCTTCTTGAGATAAGCTTCTTGAGAATCAAGCGTTGTGTTTCCCCAGCAAAAGGTGATTACAATGAGCATAGATGGACAGCCAGAAATACACAGACATGCAAGTCAGATATTGCTGTTGCACAACTGTCAGGTTTGCTGACATCAAACCAGTACAGAATCAAGTCTCTCTCTCCCCCTTCCCTTTCCCAGTGTGTCTCCAGGATGAGAAGGGGCCCAGTCCTTCTACCTGCAGCTTTATCGAGCTGCTGTCTATTGATAACGTTAAGTACTGAAATAGGAAGAAAGCAAGTTGTCACACTGAATACTGACAGAAAGTACTATTTTCTAGACAGCACTTCAGAAGCTCCAAATTAATGAAAGCACTCCCATCATGTTGTTTTCATTATGGCAACGTGGTATCGTCAGTTCTTCCCAAATTCTAGCTGACAGTCCCTCTTCAATTTGTCACAGAGATTTCAGACATTATGTACTCCAAGGATTTTCTGGAGTGAGGATGGGTCTTCTCAGTACAGAGAGAGGATAAAATGACATGTACTTTCTACGTATTTGCAATGTCCTTTTTCCAATAAAAATGCACTAACATTTGCAAGTGTCTTCAGTTCTTAGGGAAGTTGCTCACCTTTATTTTAAATGACAAAGAAGCCAAACCAGAGCTAAACACCAGCAGCTTTGCTGAGAACTGCACTATCTCTTAGATGTTCTTGTACCACAAGTTAACTTTTCTACCCATTCCTCTGATTAAATGAGCCCCAATACAGTGTAGCAGGCTAAGTCTCACACATTTCTACAGTGTTCTCTTCTGTTTAACAGGGTAGTCAAGTATTCTCTGACTCCCTCAGGTCTGAGGCATTTTTTAAATTTTACCCTTTCTTGTTCAACAGTTCTACCACGTTCATAATCAAAAATTCACAATCACACCATAGACCAGTGTTTTCCAGATCCTACTACCCATCAGGCAAACTCAAAACCCAGCAGTAAAGCAGAATCAGGCTACTGTAAATCAAATTCTGCAGTACCTGCCTCAGTCCTGAACTTCACAAGAATTTATTTGAATGCCTTTTTACTCCTTTCCTAAAAGACTTAATAATAAAATCCAGATGGCACAGGAATCCCCAGCTAGTCTTCACTCTGAGTAGCTTTTTATTTTAACACATTTTTTCTTTTTTCCCCCCTATATTGCTGTGAGCACAGCAATTATTTTTATCTTAAGCAAACGTCAAGAAAATCTGGACTGTAGTTCTGGAAAATCCTCTTCCACCAGTGATAGAACCAGGAGTACAGAGAATCAGTATTCTCAGGTCAAATCTACAGGCATGTGCTAGACGTGACTAAGCACTCACCTGACACAGGTGGGTAGGCTGCTAAACAGTGAACACGTGTGTTCCTCTCCCAGGAGCTGCTCACCACTTTACAAGACCATGGTACTGAAATCAAGGAGGATGAGAAAATGGGGAGGGAATTGGGGTGGAATCTCCCCATTTCCAGGTTTGTTTTCAGGTCTTGACCAAAGGATTTTGTTTAACTGCCATTAGAATGAGAGCAAAAAGAAGAAAGCCCAAAAGACTGGATACTAAATGAAGCTCAGCACAGAAACAGAGCACTGTACCAGAGAAGACAGGCACCAAGATTTATCTCTTTTCTGCAAGCATTCACAATGAAGCACAGTGCAGCTGCTAGTTCATTCATCCCCAGCAATGGGCTTCGCATCGAAGGCTTCAATTAAATACTTCATTAACATTTCACTCCACAGAGAGTCAGGTAAGGCAGCAGAACCATATATATTTTTACCAAGTGATCAGATCCCGCATTCATTCATGCTCCATAGTCATTAAAAGTCTCAGTACAAAAGATCTTGTTTCACTTAAAAAAGCCTTGCCAACTGGCAATGTGTTTGCTCGCAGGATACCAGAGTTCCGAGCAGCCACCACTGGAATGGTATTTAAAAGACTTCAGGATCTGCAGCAGCAAATACCCTTCTTGTACTTCTCAGCAATTAGATGGACTGCAGCTGAATTTTTAGTTAAAAATCAGGAAAAAAATTAATTTGTTTTTTAGCAATAGAAGAAAGAATCTTAAGCCTTTGTTCTGCCTTAAATACGATTCTTTAAAATGCTGTTTAGAGAGACACAGGAGATTTGATTATTCTTGACTGCTAGAATCTATAACATCCAGATTGATGCTGAATAGCCTCAACTTCCCTTTCCCCGCAGGCGGCCACACTGTTTAAAAAAAAAAAATTAAGGTGTTTCTTTAGGTATGGGACAGCATTTAACAGTTATCTCAGTACTCACCTAAAAGTACCCCTCTCCACATCCTGTCCGCTTAGTCGCACATGGATCCCTTCTTTCAGAAAGGAGCCAAAAGCCATGTATTCTGCTAAGGCCCAGTCAACAACCCTATTCTTGGTCATTTCCAAGCGGGCTCTCAAAATCCGAGAGAGTCCTACATTGGAATAAAGATCAAAAATCAATGGAGCAACTTCAGAGATATTTTAGATTCACATTATATTCACCATTCTCCTTCCCTAATGTCTAAGTTAAACACAGATCACCACAGGGTCTATAAATTGTTCTTCTAGAACTGAACTGCTAGCAAAACAAAGTAACTTATTTCCCAGGCAAAGGGTTGTCTAATGTTCATAGGCAACTTTTTTTAGGAGGAGGAAGTAAGATTGGTTGTGTCAGGAACTACTGAGGACAATTAAAAACACAGTAAAATACTACCTCTTAAAGATTTATTTTCACATCTCTAACACCAAGTGCTGTTTTATAAGACACTGAAAATATCACCTATTGGGTTTGTGATTTTCCCTTCTCTTTCTCTCTCTCACATTTTTTCATGGCATTTGTCTTACTGGACTTCTGGAGATGTTACAAAGAGAAACCAGACAGATTATTCAATGCTATTAATATAATATAAATAGGAAACTGTAGCAGCTGCCAACAATTTTCAGTTGTTAAGCAAAAGCTGGTTGGCTTTTTTTGGGTTTTGGGTTGTTGGTTTGTTTTGGTTTTTTTACAGTGAAGATTTTGTAACTTGGTAAGCCCAAGTATAAGTTGAAACACTGTGACTTTTAACGGGAACAAAACTTCAGAGCTGCACACAGATGCTTCCAGCTTTGGGGCTCTAAGCCTAATGTGTTCAGTGCCACTTGACACCATCTTAGTTTCATATCTGCACTGATGCCTTTTCCAAGCTGCCCTATTTGTTATTTTGCCATATTTCCCTTCGTTACTTTTGCCATTTTTATAAAAATCCCCCTGGTTTCTTTCCACATAAGTAAAAGAAAAAAAATCAATCTTGAAAATGTTCTCTTTAGAAGATACCAAATATTTGATAAACAAAATAATCTTCCAATTGTTTGTTAAAAGACTGTGAGATATTAAGCTGTTTCATTCTAGTGGAAGGACAAAGTCCTTCAAAAGTGCACTTCCCCTTCTAATTCTCCCCAAATTTTGTCTTTCATGGCCTTTTAAAATGTGTAAAGGAATCTAGCAGACCAAAGTTTGCTCTAAACCACAAAGCTATCTTATATATTGGCAAGCGTTACTTATTGTCAATGCCTGACCAAGTTACTAAAGAAAAATTGTCTTACCTTTTTAATTAAAATGTCTAATACTAAATTTTATCGGCTGACTGTAATTTCAAATTTATCAGTGTCACAACAAAGTGCACAAATGTGTAGAAGAATTTCAAAGTTCACCCATTAATCGTATCTGCTCAATGAGCTTGCAATTGATAACTGGGAATGCCCTACCATCATTACTTGTAACAGTGTTTAATTGTCCCAAGGAACACAAACACACAGAACACCTACAGCAGACACCATTTATCCCTTGATGGATGACTCTGGAGAAGAAAGATTAGCTAGGGGTTTTACCCAGGAAAAAAAAACAAAAACACTTTCTTCTGATTCTAAGTACTTTCCCTACCAGTCAGCAACAAAAACAAACAAACAAACAATAAATCCCTAAACAAAGTATCTCCATGTTTCCCTGTGGAATAAACATGTTTACTGCTCCCTGTAGAGCTGCTAGACTTCAACCTGACCAGGGAGTAAAAGAATTAACTCAGAATTCTGACACAGTGCCAGGAGCTCCCCAGTGAGACAGGCACATTGAAGTCCTTACTGCAATACATGCCAAATTCAGAATTGAATCTCTTCAGAACAAAAGCTAAGCTAAGACTTTCTCAAAAAACACTAGGTTTGTGCTATCATCAATGCTGAATGGTAAGTTCAAAGGAAAACTGTCTGAATTTTCCCACACAGAGTCCATTCAGGTGTATTAACATCAGGCTCATCGTGTATCAGCAACGTTGCCAGGTCTGAAAAGACCAAGCTATATTCCTGAGTAGAAAGCTGTCTAACTCAAGAAAAGTGTCTTAAGTGGACCTCAAATCACCACTTGTTTTAGCATTAAGAAAAACCATTAATGGCACTTCCTGAGATGGGTGCCTTACTTCCCAGTAAGTCCCACAAACGTGCTGCACGGAGGCAGCATTTTCTGCAAGGCCTTGAATAATGAAAGGAGGTATTAAGTTAATGTTAACAAAGCGACTTTTACCTCCCTCAGAGGAAATTCTATTTTAATGAGGTAAGGAACAGAAGTGGTGTGATACTGAAAGGACATTATGATGAGAACAAGCAGCAGGACCTTAACATCACATTCTCCTTGCACACAGGATAGAAGAGTTAGAACGAAAGTCACAGGCATTTTCCTCTTTGGGAAATGACCCAACAGCAACTTGTGTGCAGAAATATAAAATCTGAGCAAGCCACTAGGAGAAACAAAGACTCCAGCTGACCTGCATGTATTTTGAAGTCTTTGACTGGCACTGAACTAGCTACGTTGCCAATGTGAGTCAGAAGGTCTTCTGAAATGCCAGTTGGAGGACAAGACATGCTCTTGGGTTCTCCATCCACATTAAAGAATCCTGGAAGTAAAAGATTTGGTGAGATGCTCAAGGATTGATTAAGAGATATCTACACTATCTACAATTTATTTACAAACTCAACAACTCTTAAAAGACATTCTTAGCAGCAGCCTATACCTAGTTTTTAACCTTTCACTAGGAGACACAATCATTTGATTGTCTGCACGACAACAGAACTTGACCTCACAGTCACACAATGATTTGTTTTATTTCTGCTTTTACTCCCTGTGAAGTCCAAATATGTGGGCAGAGGCAGCCAATAAAAGGCACATGGCACCTCAAAACTTCCAAAGAAAAAAGAAAAAAGGAAGAAGCATGAGAGGTACTCCTTCTTCCTGAAGGCACAGACAGTTAACATTACAGGAAAAACACTTCTCTGCTAAACTGAAAAGATGTCTTTTTCAAAGTCACACCTTACTTTGCATGTTTAAGAAAAGCACCTCTTTGAAGTTGATCTGGCAGAATGTTCAGAGTGTTTTATTTACTACTAACAGGGGCAAACCAAAGATCCCATATTTTGCTTTAAAGGAACACTGTCTGATAAAAACCATTTCAGATATTCCTAGAATATGGACTCAAAATTAAAGCACAAAAATATTAACACTAGGATAAGTGAAAGGACACTTTTTACCAGGCCAAGGAGAATCAAGCCAGTGCTTGATATGTAGAATCTTGTTATCCTTAGATCTAGTATATGCTTCTTCACATATTCTATCATACTTTGCAATTTCTTCCTGTAGGACAAAAACTTTCTTTTTAAAACAGACAAACATAGCACCTTTGTGTCTTACAGATGACACCTACTATTCACTATGATAAGAACAGTTCTTTAACTCCAGAAGAAAACTTATTACAATTATGCAAACAAACCATTTCATTTTATCTAGGGTCAAGTTGCCTTCTAAAAACATGCTTACCCACATTACTCTAAATAAATTATTTAGTTTATTGATAGGTGTTACAGAGGAGAGTACCAAGAGCTGAAGTTGCAAGCATCAGGAAATGAGGGGAAATGGCTTCAAGCTGGAGGGGAACAGATTTAGATTGGAGATTAGAAGGGGGTTCTTTACTGTGAGGGTAGTGGAGCACTGGAACAGGTTGCCCAGGGAGGTGGTTGAGGCCCCATCCCTGGAGATATTCAAGGAGAGGCTCGATGAGGCCCTGGGCAACCTGGTCTAGTTGGGGGTGTCCCTGCTGACTGCGGGGAGGTCGGACTAGATGACCCTTGGAGGTCCCTTCCGGCCTGGGCAATTCTATGATTCTATGATTCTATAAGCATCACTCTAGAATGAGGCAGAGCTGAAGTACCAAATACAATTTACAGTCATGCTTCTAAGATCAACATTATCCAGCTCTCGTACTTCAAGATACAGAAGACACTAAAGACTAGAAAAGAACCTCCTAGAAAACTAGTCTGGGTAGGAGAGCTGAGCTACGAATCTGCTGGCCGCATCTATCAAGGGCAACAGATACAAAGCCATATTCTGTAGAGGCAGAATGCCTCTACAATATCTGTGTTTCAATCCAAAACTGCACTCAAGCTACTGAGCTAGATAATCTTTAAAGTAATTAACAACAATGTTGAGTTCAGCAAAACATCCATCCAGGATCCTGGCTCCAGTCACCAAGGCCCATGGAGCTACTGGCACACTCGTACAATGGATTCCGAATCTCTCACTCTACACGTTCCCTTTCAAAAAAGATTAAGGTAAAGACCTAACCAGCTTAATACAGGCACCAGACTCTATGCTACATCCTTCTGGAATATTTCAAATGATCTCTGAACTTAGCTGAATTATCGCAGGAAAATAAAAAGGTTAAATTGATTTTATTGTATTATTGCTGGCCACAAGCCTGCCAAGGTTATTAATACGAAGCTACAGTTATATTCAAATACTGTCTTACTGCTGAATCAAGATTCTACTGGTGAAGAACAGGTGACAAATGCCTCCATCTCCAACATTTACATTTGATCACCTTTTACAAATCCCAGAACTGAAGCAAATTTTTTTGTGCAATATGTATTAACTACTTCACAGCCCTTTCAGTCCTTTTGTTACAGAAATACTATCTGTTTCACATGCAAATCCAAACCAAATTGAATCAGAAAGTGTCAAAGGGTGAAGACTTATCACAGTAATGAAAAGAGGTTTTTAAGCACACAGTAACAGTTGTGTCTTCCTGCTGGCAGCTTAAGTTCCCTTTAACTCTGTTGACATGTACCTCAAACTCCTGGAGTGTTACAGTCCCATCTGCAATCAGTTTATCAGCATACTTCTTCAGCACTGGCACCTGCTTGTGAATCTGCTTGTACATTAGAGGCTGGGTGAACATCGGTTCATCCATTTCATTGTGTCCTCGCCTACGGTAACAAACCTACAAAGGGAAAGATTGATCCTGTTGGTAAGGAAAACTTAAAATTAAATCTTTCAATTTCATAGTTTTACAGAGATTTTAGGAGGTTTATGGTATAAAAACATTTATGGATTCTTGTGGGGCTGTCAGTTTTGGGGTTTTTTTAAATGAAGAAACTAAAGATGATTAAAATCAAAATACATTCCTTGACTGGGTCTTCAAAGCCACAGAAAAATAGGAGACTGGTACATAACACAGAATGAAAAGTTAAAAACCAAGACTTACCAAGTCAACCACCACATCTTTATTGAATGTGTTTCGCCATTCTGCAGCTACACTGCAGACATACATCACTGCTTCAGGGTCATCAGCATTCACATGAAAAATGGGAGCATTGACCACACGAGCAACATCAGTAGGATATGGAGATGAACGGGCCATGCGGGGATCTGTCGTGAAGCCAATCTAAAAATTTCCACAAATTTCCATTAAAATGTGGGCATCTCCCTCTACTTTGTTTTGAACACTTGAGGTCTTAATTTAATAGTCATTTACAGATCAGTAGTATCAGCTTTTCATTTTGGCTAGCTAGCTTCTTTTTGCTCCCTTAAAAACAAAACAAAGCAAACCTAATTCAATTAAGTGTTATAAATTGAATTAAATAAATGTAGGTGATAAAATAGTAGCTGCTCAGAGTTGCTAGATACTATGACCTTTTTCAGGAACATCCTAACCATTCTAATAAACAGAGAGGACAATACACCCAGCTAACAACAAAGAAGAATACGAAGAATTACACTAGCAACTATTCAGCAGACAAAGTGATTGGAAAATCCTCTACCTGGTTGTTGACCACAACATGAATAGTGCCATTCGTGGTGTAGGATGGGAGGTCACTAAGGTGAAACGTCTCATAAACCACTCCTTGTCCTGCAAAGGCAGCATCCCCATGTAATAATATGGACATAACCTAAGAGGGAGGATTATACACACAAATCCATACATAGATTAGAAAGCAAAACCGCCATTTAAGCTTCTCCGCAGGATTTCTTTGTTCAATACTTCTGTAGTGCTTATAAAGCAGAACTGTATTTTTATAACAAACCATAGACTTGTCAGCATTCAGCTTCACTCAATTTGCAAATAAAAGTTTTAACTCTACTTCCTGAACTTACCCTTGAGGTACCATGTCAAAAATCTTATCTAATTGAAAAGGTGATATATCCCCTTTGTGAAGGAAGAAAAGAGGAAGACTGTGATACAAAACTACTGGTAAACTATTTTTATTAAAAATAACATGAAAAACTACCAGTAAGAGTTACTGAATTAAAAAAATGTTTACCTTTTTCCCTGCTGTATCCCCTCGATAAAACTGTTCAGCTTTTGTCTTCCCTTGCACCACAGGATCAACTGCTTCCAAGTGAGAAGGGTTAGCCATCAGGGACAGAGTGATTTTCTTGTTTGTTGCTCGGTTGATCCTCTCATGGTACATTCCCAGGTGATATTTTACATCCCCAGATCCCTACATGCAAGATGTAGTCACAATTCAGGAATGCCATTCATACCAGCTACATCTGATCGACTACACCTAAAATTTGTGCTTCAGTCTGAAAAATGCATGGAGCTTACTGTCCATCAGTATGCACCATGGGTTTGACACCATAATTTCAAACTGGAGCATTTTATTATCTTAGTGTCACTACCCATTATTAGATAATTACTTACAGAATACTGATAATCATTTCATTTACATGAAAACAAAGAAAGACGCTTAGAGACTACAAACTCAGTCAAATGCCCCAGAACTTTGTTAGCTACAGCCATTTCTAAGACACCTTCTGCATGTTAGAGGTACAGTATAGTCTTTACATTAAGAAATTTCACTAAGTCACATTCCTCCAACTAGAAAAGAAGATAATGCATTTCAGCAGCTAATAATGCTATTTTCATAGCAACCATGACCCAAATGACTAAAAACTAGCTTGAATATTGGCCTCTCTCTATAGGTCCATTGAAGCAGCATCTTACCTCATCAGCTGCTTCTAGTTTGGGATCAAACTGACAGAAGATCTGCTCCAGCTCTTTTCGGATGACGTTAGCCAATACATTCAGCCTACCTCTAAGAAAATTCCAAACATAGTTATGTCTCAGAAATGGTAACAACAGAGTTAATAGCCTAAAACTTATAAAATCAGCAAGCCATCTCTGTCAGGAATTTGCAAGTAAGAAGTGAGCTTCAAACTTTTGAACCTGAAACCCTTCATTCTACCCTCTCCTCCTATTGCAAAGTTCCTCCAATGCATTCCCACAGATGTTTTATAACACCCAGTTATCCAAGTACGAGCAATGAATTTTGTAGCTATCTAGCAGTTTTAACATGTTGATATTAGTAATTGATTAAGGCAGACTGTAACAGTTTGATACTATCTCACCAAGCTTTCTCAGTTCCAGATTCCATGCAATGGGACAGGCACCATGGCTGCTGCCACATTTGCTTGCAGCTTCAGAGTACACTGAAGAGAGTTTCATTGGTGTTTACCCATGAAACTGTAGCCTCTCACTGACAGGTATTTGTTACAGTTCTGTGCTCCCATTACCCGCTGTGATTGACTCCTGCTACCTTAGCTTCTCTACTATCAACTTCATTAATAAAATTCTAGACCCCGAAACTTGTCTTAAGTCACTAAGCCCATTTGTTGGAGGGTTTCCATTGACATTACCTATGAGGCATCCCCATTATAACATATTCAATTCCCATTTCACTGGATTTATCGATGATGGTCTTAAGTGCAGGAATCATTACTTCACATCCTTCCAAACCAAATCTCTTTTCAGAAGACCACTTGCGAGCAAGGAAGTCTTCAAATCTTTGCCAAAAAGAAACCCAGACAAAACAAAAAAAGAAAGAGTGTATATATTAAGATAATGTAGAATATAGTTATTGTCCAACATCTTTTAGCAAATAAAATTACATTACACAGTTTTAAAACATCTGTGATTACACGTTTTTAAGCCTCTGGAAGTAAGTCACATGTAAGAAGGGAGATGTAGGAGAGAGTTAAGCCATCTTTCTCTGCCATCTGAGAAGTATTTACCAGGACTTTGACACAATTCAGACAGCAAGAAGAGTCTCTACCTCAGAAAAAATTCACTTCCCTAGGTAAACTCTGCTCCTTCCCATGTATACAAAATGTATGCTGACCACTGGGAGGGCAGAGTAACAGCAAAGAAGTCTCTTCTATGGATTGAAGAGGACATAACAGAGAACCTGCATTTTCTGCAAGTAATGATTAAATACTTGTAGAAATACAGTAGAAAGCACGCCTATTTTATAGGTCCTATTCAACGGCAGGGCTCCTCAGACTGTGTGATGTAACGGTTGGTAACGTGCCAAAACTAGGACACTGGCATCTCTGCCTCAGCTGCAGCAAGAGCCTTGACAGCTCTATGTTCTTTCATTCTTTAATGCACTTGGGCCAGAGGCAATGTGAGTGGTTAAAAAGTACCTTTTAACAAACGCTGAAAGGATTATATGTTGTAAAGCTTGGAGATAAAAAGGCAAAGAAAATACATCTTCATGAAAATAACTGTATTGGTTACATCATCTGTGCAATGCCTGGACTCATAACACTGCCATAATCCATTAATACTCAGCTTATTCCTCACTTAGAACGCTGACATTTACCTCTTTAGATTGAAGTCCTAAAAGCAGCGAAATGAAGAGCTGCCAAAAGACTCTCCTTAGCTCACCCATCAATACCCTTACAATTCAGGCATCTACGCAAGAAGCCAGACCCTCAGCTGAGCTACGCTGCCAGAACTCCTCAGAAGAGTCTGCAGGGCTAGGCCAGTTTATATAAACTGAAAGTGGGGTCCCATTTGAACAGCAAGTCCTACAGGGCAAATCCTAGTGGTGGCTGCACACGCTGTTTTCCTCCTCTTTGCAGCTGCAAGGTAAGCCAGTATTGGGCAACCAGAAAGCTCGTTATTTAAGGCAAAGTGCCACTAAGTGTGCAGAATATTTCACAATATTTCACAGTCGCATCTTGTGAGTCCCCCAGATGCCACTGTGAGTTCACAAGGGCTGGCAGCTCATCCACGGTCGCTGCATGTTCAGTACCCAACGAGGAGCGAGACTCAGGAAAGATGGTTACTCTCAGAAGGGATAATCTGCATGTACTTGACCCTGCACAGGCTTAAGAAGATGCCCAGACCAGACTACACAATCATGTGCTTGCTAATGCATACGCAAAGCAGTTCAAAGATATACATTGAGTGTTTTACAGAAGGACGAGATAAAAATGACCCTTTCTTCAATAACCTATCAGTGAACAGCACAAAGGATGAGAAATCCTACTTTAAAATTCAGTTCAAGTACCTGAAGTGTGTAGTGCTCGGAATGAACATTTTTGAAAATGGTGTTCTTGAGCAAATGACTATCTGCTTTACAAAGCCTCAAATCTCAAGCACACAACCAGTTTTCCACAAAACCAGATTTTTTTCTTGATCATTTTCAGACAAAAAACACACGCTAGAGTTAGACAAATAGAAATTTCTGTAAAACTTTTTTCTTCCACTTTAAGCAGACAATTAATTTGGCAGATGAACATTTGGCTCCTTCATGTTGCTAAAAACCCCAGATCTTTCCACAGCTTCCACAGGTAGGAATATAAGCACAAATTCTTGTCTCAAAATAAATGGAGATGGTTCATACTGAGGGCTTGTTAAGCAAACTTACTCAAGTGCAATACTTGTTTGCCTATTGAGTGACCTTTTTTCCTGTTTAAATGAAGCTTTTAACCAGACAAGTAATCTTGCTATAATACCGGCAAACAAAATGTGGTAAAAATATCTTCCAACACCTCCAATGAGCACTTAATTTTTAAGTCTTTAAACATAGAAGCTTAATCAAAAAACGTGTCTTCATAAATCACTTTCACACAGGATATACAAGCTGTTTCACATTGTAAGAACTGTAATAAATCTTGTGCCCAAGAAGACAGTCTTGTTCTAGGGGTGAGAGGGTAATTCAGTCTCTGGCACCACAGTATTTCCATACAGATAGCCACAATGGGAGCAATCAATAAGGTGTTTCCAAACATGCTTTCATATATTGCAGAGACCAAAACTCCTGCATGACCTGGCAGCAGCAGTACAGCACACAGCTTGGCATACCTCAAAAGGAACAGGGCAAAACCAGGACTTGAAATCACATTATGCATCTCAAATCCAGTCCCATCTTGGCACAGCTTTCCAAAGAGACTGTTACCATCCCAGCGAGATGAACAATGTTCATGTCAACACTTCACCCTAAAAATTTAATCTAAAAATTCTCCTTGAGCTGACTGTTAGGATGGCTTCTTTTGATCATGCACTACTAGAAAGATGCACAGTAGATCAAATACAGCAGAAGATCAGTATCCAATGTTGTTCTGACAACTATTTTCTGAAACAGGTTATGAATCTTAGACACAGATACATACTACTAGTCTGTTGAAACCATTTTCTCCCAGTTGCACAAGCCAATGAAAACATTGCCAGATATGGCACAAGTGTTACAGAACACAACTTGCTGTGTGAGTAAATATACTAAAAATCACTGCACAGACCCTTCCATGCCTCACAGCACACTCTTTCCTTTGATATCACAGCCAGGTTAACTACACCCACCTGTACGCCGGATTTCACTTAGAGTCTCCATCTCCACCTCAGCAGTTTACAGACTCCCCCTGGGTACAGCCAGCAGTGCCAGAGGGGTTCCCCCACACCACCCCCACGTACCTCATTGAGCGCACCAGCCGTGCCAACAGAGTTCTTTTTTCCTCATTAGTAAACTTCATCACCCCCGGCGTCTCAAACTTCTGCCGGATCCACTGGCACTGCTCCACATCATTGATGAACATGAACTCCAAGCCGATGTGTTGGCAGTAGGTATTCTAGGATGTGAAAACACCAACACAGATGCCTTAGGAGTTAATGGGCCATGAAGTAACATTTTTAAAATCATATTTGCTTCTGAAAGCTATCTTATCTTCTTCCTCTTCCCCACAGTAATCCTATAAGTGAATAAATTATTTTACTGAATCTAGTTTTGTGCCAGAAAGCTTTCTCTACAAAGTAACACTTCAAAATTTTCAATCTGGAAGATTCTCATTTGGCAATACATTCAAAGTAACCAATAAACCGGCCTTTGACTGCCATATTTCACCTAACTCTCTACTGTTCTTACAGGCATAATAGTCTTGTCTTTAGATGCACCAGCAAAGATTTCAAGTCATTTATCAAAATTTACCCTGTCTTTTTTTTAAATGTCACCTGAAATCAAGCAATAAGACAATGAGAAGACAGCTGTGAAGCCTCATGCAAACTATCTGATAACATAATTGTCAAGGCTGGAAATCTGGAAAAGAATGCAAGCAGCTGAGAGCAGAGAAAGAACAGGGAAAATGCAAAGACACTTCAGAAATATTATCTCCTTGTTGAATTTTTTTAATTTTCTTTTTCTTACCTTCAAAAGAATATTTCACTAGAAAAATGTGTCCAAAATACAAGCCCACAGGAGTAAGATCTATTGAAAGTTTAATTTGAGGCAAAACCACTCTGAACACATAGCATGTGCTCTTTACTGCCTCTAAAAATGATGTTAACTTCAATAAAATAATGTTAACTTCAATAAAAAAAAAGCTCTGGAGATAAAAAATAACCCTCTGGTTTCCCTCTTAACACAAATCAGTTCCTTGGGGCTCCTAGATTTTGCTATTGATTTTGTCCATTTATTTGCGCATTACAATTTTAAGGATTATCTCTTGAAAATTGCTGCACAGATGCTATGAGTGCAAAAATCAAAAAGCAAATATACAGAGCTCAAATGCACAACAGAGTTATTGTCTTAATAACTTCATGTGTTAAGCCAACATAATAGCTAAACATGCAAGTCAACAAATTTCCTCACTTGCTACAAGTCAAAGCTGTGAACTCTTATATGCTCAGTAATATTTTTTTAGGTTTTTTTACATTCTTGTAATTCAGTTACATATTTCATCCTTTAAAATATTTCCTCACCCCTAGTTCCTTTTACTCCAATGGTTTTCATTACTATGCAACAGAAATCTCTACAACTTCAGTACTTCAAAATCCTGGAAAAAGAACACTTGGGAATATCCAGTACTCAGTAGTTTTCAAATTCATTACCATTCCTACTTGCTGTTTTGCTGTTTGGAGTTCCCCTCTAATTATATTTATTCCTTTAAATTATTTTTGCTTTAAATTATTTGAGCTTTGATGACTCCACATGGCATAACCATATCACCTGTCAGATAATGAAACTCTAGAAAAAAGAAGGGGGAGGGAAAACAAGGACCATCACTATCTACATGCTACAGCTGGGCTTTCATGAATTTGGTACCCAAACTTCATATTTTTACTCAGGTAAAAGCCTCACTAAAGCTAGGGCTCTGAGAGCAATACCTGCACATCCTGAGTACCATACGGAAAGGTGTTTCTATCTCTGGCAGGACACTTAGAAGACAAATTCTAAAGGCCATACCCTTTTTAAACAACATCTGCTCTTTACAGAACTAGGGACCAAATTAGTATTCTACATATTCACTTCTTTTATACTCATCCTTTATCTACGTATTTCACATATCCAGGCAATGAAACTAATGGTGCTGCCATCTCTAGAAGCAATACAAGGGTTATTTTTAACGTCATTTGAATTCTTTACATGGTCTAGTGATAATTGACAAATGATAATTTTTTTGTGACAGACAACTGGAAAAAATTCCCTTGTTTGGATGAAAACAATCACAAATCAAAAGATGCCCCACTGACCTCCAGCCGTTTGATGATCTCCCGTAAAGACAGACTGTTCTCATTTCCTCCTATGAAGGTGGTTGTAGGCAGCTGAAAGACTTTGTCCAGATCAGATTCATGCAAACCATAAAACCCTACAACAGGTACATTATCAATTTGCACAGCAGTTTAGGAGACAACAAGGAAACCAGCATTGTTTTTCAAACCCCCATAAATTAAATTTAATCAAGTAATATTAAGAAAGAAGGTACCAGATTAAAAGTTGAAAGTGTGACTATTTTGGAGGCATTCATTAGTACAATGTACTTTAGCCTGGATTTTGAAAAGAAATACACTCCCAGACACATCCCCCATCTCATTCAGAGGTCTAGTGTATTTTTCCTGTGCTCATGAAGGTTTCAGGGTGATGCCTTCTGACCAGTCACAACAGTCTGTACTAAACTCTCTGTAGAGGTTAAAGAAAATTTTACTGATGTGCTAGCAATCACCCATGCTATAAACAAATTATATTTCATAGAATCATTTAGATTGAAAAAGACCCTTGGGATCATCGAGTCCAACCATCTAACCTAATCTAAAGTTCTCCCCAACATCATATCCCCCAACACCACATCCCCCAACACCACAACTAAATGACTCTTAAACACATCCAAGGATGGCGACTCAACCACCTCCCTGGGCAGCCTATTCCAGTGTCTGACTACCTTTTCTGTGAAAAACTCTTTCCTAATGTTCAGTTTAAACCTACCCTGTTGGAGCTTGAAGCCATTCCCTCTTGTTCTATCACTAATTACCGGGGAGAAGAGACCAGCACCAACCTCTCTACAACGCCCTTTCAAGTAGTTGTAGAGAGTGATGAGGTCACCTCTCAGCCTCCTCTTCCACAAGCTAAACAGTCCCAGCTCCTTCAATTGCTCTACATAGGATTTGTTCTCCAGGCCCTTCACCAGCTTCGTTGGCCTTTGTTATTTACTCAGTAAGTGTCTAATGTATTTTCTAGTAGGTACTTTAATTAATTAAAGCTGACAAACTTCAAAGAGAATCCCTGATTTGTCTAAGCACCTCTCTATTTACAGTCTTAAGCGCTCCACTGCCTTTCCATGATCAAGGGTCAGAACTGCTTCTTTTCCTACCACCAGAAATAGAAAACACTGCAGCAAACAGGCAGCAGATGTACTTACATTAAAACTAAGCAGAAAGTATTTTATCTACTACTTGCACTACGTTTTATGTCTGGTCCAGAAAGCTTTCCTATATATCAAAGAAAAATGATTCAGCCTCTTTATCAAGTAGAAAACCACCTTTGAAACATACCAGGTGGATTGAAGATTAGAGAAAAATCAATCAGATACTTTCTGATTCAAGCAAAGAAATTGATCAGTGCAATTTCTCAAAGATGTGCCCTCTTAGCAACCAGAAAAACCTTTGGAAAAGCAAACACTAGTGTATTACACTCTTCCAGCAGTAAACTAAAATTAATACCACTTGATTATATACAAAAATCAAGAATTTTACAATTTCTGTGTTTTCTTCTGATAACTTCAAACAGACTTTTTCAACTTCTACAGAAGGAATAAGTATCAGAGGCTGGAATCCAAATTTAGTATGAAATTTACCCCAAGTTCGTCTATTTTGTTTATTGCTTGTTTTTCCTATTGACTAGCCTTCAGATGTGTGCAGTCAAAATAACTATCAAGCATAATGGCATAAAAGTAATTCAGATTACCAGAATCTCAGCTTAATGTATTGATTAGTATTAATTTCTGGTGTGGTTCAAAACCATAAGATTTGGGGTTTTTATAAAGTGTTTATAATCATCATTCATCAGAAGGTGAATTCACAGGAACCTCAGCTGTAATCTCAAGAATACAAATTCCATCGTTCTGGAATTTGAGCCTCCTTACAGATGTCTAAAGAAATTATTTAATGATGCCAGCAAGAAAAAAGTTAGAAGCTTCCCTGAAATGTCTTATTAAATCTCCTCACCCCAATGAGACAAAAGAGAGAAATGACCATTGCAAATAACAAGGTATGCGATGTACACACCAAGTTTATCGATGGTAGTGATTAAGTCAGATGGCACAAAAGAATCCAAGTCTGCATCCAGAATTCCAAGGGGATCCAGCTGAGCCACATGATGGCCACGGATCTGAAAAAGGACGAAAGTGAGAGAAAAATGAAATCACACTGACAAAAGTCAGACAAAGGGCAAAATCACTTATAATCTCTCCATTGTATGTATATTAGCCATGAAATCAAATAAGCAAACACTACTAATGCCATGAGAGGGTAATTTTCCAAGTTTTCCCATAAGAACAGGAAATAAACATTATATCTCTGGATATGTATACTGCCTCTATTAAAAATTGCTGAATACACATTAGAACATAACCTTTATATTGTCTGACATACAATTTTAACTGGAACTACACTGAAGTCAAAGTAAAGAAAACTACTAAGGATTGTACTCTAAATCCCTAAGTAAAATTAAGAGCGTATGACCAGTCTATAGATCCTGTCATTTGCTAATTCAGTCATTCTGTATTTTTGCCTGAATCCTCCTTTCTGCACCTGCAGAAAACTACAATACAGTATTGCTGACCTAAAAGATAGATTGGTGGTGAAGTTTGTATTGGAAGCAAAGGGATCGCTCTTCATGAGCTCTGCTGCACATCAGATAGCATTTATTTTCATTCATGAAATTTCAGGAATTTCATCTATGATAAAATTGATCTTCAAGACACCAAAGAACCAAAATTCAATGGGGAATTTAGCCAGTTTTCAGTTATCAATGTTTGGTGTTAAGCATTCCACAAGTTGCTATAACCAGTGCCTTGTATTGACACATAAAATCCCTACAGAAGTAGTAATTAATTGACTCAATAGAGCCATAAATCAAACCCTTTTAATGTGATGTCTCTTGTGTGTGATTCTTATATACCAAATTGGCTCATTAATAGCTTTAGATTAATATATGAATATTTTCTTCTTTATCTACTTTTTAAGGACAAATTCCAATCACTTGGGTAGAATTTCATTCACACTACTAGTATCTTAATTGTCTCTGAAAAAAACCAAAAAACCAAATAACAAAATGCTTCCCACTCATAAGCAAAGAGAAACACGGCACCTTTTTTAGAACCATCAGCCCTGTGAATTCAGCCTGGCCTCTGAGATTCTTTGCATCTCATGAATCATCAGTAATAAAACTCTAACAGGCCAAATGATGCCCACGGCAACATCTGTGCCACCTCATTGTTTACAGCGGCACAAAGTCTATCTGACTGGAACTAAGCAAACAATTCTGTCTCAAGCATCATCAACAGGAAGGAATTCACCTCTTTAAGCTACAGCTGCTCGGCAGTATTAGTAGGAAAGGAAGAGGATAAGCAAGATTGCCAAAAAGAGAAGAGCAAATCAGTAAAGTGCTGTGCCATTACACTCCAGGAGTAGTTTGGTGTTGAACTAAAAGATAGTATTTTCCTTGATAACATGTTATTTTTTAATAATTTCCACTTCTTTCACTGGATACAGAAAATAGTAACAACTGTGAAAATCAGAGATCAACCTTGTGAAAATACACATATGGAAAATTTTCATCAATTGCCACAGATTTGACTGAACGCAAGTACAGGCTACCTGAAACTAGACTTTAAAATCGTATTTTCTAGACACAGATGCAAAAAAATTATTAAATGATCTACATTATAAAAGAAGACTCAACAAATTTATATAGACTCTTTTTTGTTAGGCACACACAATTCATCGGAAATCCTTCTTTCAGTGCGTCTGGTGCTCTGCATTAGAAAAAGCAATAGATTAACTGCCTTTTCAGAAGACCAGCTCAACAGACCACAAAGCAGTTTACCACAAAACCCATAAAATACTGACAGGTTTGAGAAATGAAAATTCTGTATCCTTCTCCATTTCATTTCATTATCAGGCAAAGGAAGGTCACAAATTGATCGTATCCCTTCAACACTGAATTTAGAGGGTATTAAATACCTTTTAGAAACAGCCAGTTGCCTTAGGTAATCCTCTTTCATTGTTTGTTGCAGACACATGGGTGCCTGCCATTTATACAGACGTTTCTGTTCCATCACTTGAGTCAGACAGCACACGCTTTCAAACACAGGAAAGAAAATGGCAATCCCTGAACTATTTTCATGTAAATGGTGTCAAAGCAGCCTAACAGTCTACAATTTTCTCTAATTCTTCAGCAAATTTTTACTACCACCAAAAGTGAATGAGCTGAAGTGGTTGGCTTCTAGATAGCTAGGTTTCTACATAAGCAAATTTCATATATTCTTTATATTCACAAACCTTTCTATTCTTTTACAACATCTCTCCAACAGCTGTATGAACCTGATTCGTATCTGAATCAATGGTGACAGTGCCATGTGTACAGAAAAAAAAGTTCCTCTTCTATTCCTCTGATGAGAGCAAACAGGAGTTAAAATTCTTAGTGCGGGGCAGGACAGATCTGCTCAAGTCAAATTGTAGCAAACGTCTTAAGAAGTACATGCTTCAAAAAAATTGGAATATTTTATTCAGATCTACATGTTTAGTGGTTTGTGGGTTTTTTTGTTTCACACTGTTTTTAAGTCTTTTATTGAAATTAAGATACTAAACACAAGTCTAAATAAAACCATTTAAACTTATTTTACATTTAGAAAACATCTAACCAAAACCACTATGCTATTTCCAAAATCCTTATTTTAGAGGAAAAAAAGGAGACTAGATTTAATTTCTTAATTTAATAAAGGTTTGAAAAATCTGAGTGTGAAACAAAGTCAGCTTTCATAACAGTTCTCTAAAAGAAATTAATCAAAGCTGACCCAAACTCAGTACCATCAGCCTCCAAAAACTCAACTTCTAATTAATTCATTGTTTCTTCTCTCTCTTTTTACCTATCAGGAATAGGTAAATTAAATCAGGAATCTCAACATTCACACCAGATGTACGAGAAGGCAAGCTCATTTCCTCCTTTCTTAAAGAAAGGTAGTAACATTGAGAGCTGTAACACCTAGAGGTGTTTCCTAGAGGTGAAGACAGACTTGGATGGTGGAAAAGTGATCAGAAGATTCATTAGTATCAGTCTATCAAGGAAACCTCCCTTCACATGAAGCAAAATTATTTCAGAATACTTAGTTTTCCAATTTGATCAAGTAACTTATTGAATCAGAGAGACACACACACAAAATATTAATACAGCCAATTGACCAAAAGAATAGTAAAGGCTAAGCTTTCACATGTTTGGCTCCTGCTCCTGTTAAATGGGTAAAAATAAAATAGTCATTTGTGAAAGGGAACATTAATCTATCTCCATAAAGAGCTTCCAGGATAAGTCAGGTGACCAGCACCAGGGCTGTGGGTCATCTGAATCCTGAGTTCGCTAAACCAAAGGAGCTTCCCAGTCTGAATCCAGGACCTCAGTGTTCAGACACTGTGCAAGAAGGAAAGACTGTTCAAGACATTTTGGGTCAGAAGCAAGACAATAAGCAAGAGCTAAGACCAGAAGACAAAGAAGAACATAAAAAGGAAGAAAAAGGTTGCTTGCAAAGGAGAGGCCCTCCCACAGCTACCCCAAAGTACACTTACTTGGTATGCTCTTATCAAAGACTGCACAGCAAGGTGATCTTCAACGAGCTTTTCAGCTTTCCCTGGTGTCTGGGCCAGGCCGTGGCTCTGAAGAAATGACGCCTTTCTTTCCAACTGCTCTGGTAGACTGGCATCATATGCTTGGCCAGCGTTAGCATTTCGGAAAAACAAATCCCAGGACTGGACATGTGTACAGAGAAGGAAAGAAGGAGGAAAACTGATTACCTCAAACAGAAGTCTCAAGCAAAAGCAGCTCCTCAAGCTGCAAATGGCACCTCACTACATCACAGTACTACGGACCACTAACAGCCAGCAAAAAGAGAGCACTTGATACATCCACACCTGGGTAGCAGCAACTGTGTGTTTCATTTACACAGAGCCCTTTTCACCTCATTTCTTACCCTGAGCCTGTTCACTGGAAAACTCTCCAGCACGTATGAGTGCAAAGCTTTGTTGTACATTATTCATTCACACGGCTCTTTTTAACTGTTTATTTAGGCAATCAATAATGGGTATGATATTATGTTGCTGGTAAAGAGGCATCAAGCCTATAAAACGGAAAACTTTAATAAATGAAATTAATCCATTCCTTTAATGATACTTAAAGAATTTTATGATACTTCAAGACACTCACTGAATATGCCAAATCAGAATGCGTCCTTATGACCCTTTCTTGAAGAATTTGTTTAAAAGCAATTACAGCTTTTTTGAGTGAGGCTTTTGGTGTAAGACTCTTTCCTCACTTGCTTAGGTTACCTTATTTTGAAAGAAATTACGGACCTGGTTTCAGGTGTGAGTCATAACTTTAGAAGAGCACACATTTCAGAAACTGAATCACAACAAACAAAAGATTCCTTTATTTCCATCTGTACTTTTACAGAAGCCACTTCCTCCACATATGCCCAAATCTGTTTTTCCTGAACTGTTTCCATTCTGATGAGGTGGTCATCGTCTCAGGTTAGAAAGGTATTAGATGCCAACAGACAGCAGCAGAAGGGGATAGAACATCCAAGATGCCTACATTCAACAAAGAAGAAAGCTAGCAGGGGACTAATCAACACTTGTGCTTAGCCTGCAGTTTCCATAAAAGGAATTGAAAGGTCATAAAATACTTTCTTTCCTAAATTAGCCAAACTGAGCAAAGGAAGTTATTTCAAAACTTTAAAATCTTTGGAATAGAAGAACTGTAAAAGCTAAATTTTATTTTGTACAGTGCATGCTATTTACCCTGGCTGTGGGCTTGGAACTAACGCATTTCAAGGAACCAGTGCCAGAAGAAACAAAACGTAGCTCAAAGACTTGATTTTTAAAATAATATTACTTAATATATTCATTAGAGTAATGTAATACCAATACTGCATGACAGAAAAATATTTATAAAATTCTGATTTCATAAACAAAAAGTCTTCATATTGAAATTTCTACAAGCTTTAAGGTGTTCAGAAACACTACGAGAGGGGCAGAATACAATCATCCAAACAGACGAGCCAAACATCACCCGACTTTCCAATTTTAAGTTATGGAAGTGAAATTAACTTATGGAAGTTCAACCTGTAGGCGAGAACCTCATCATGAGCATGAAGCCTCTGCCCAAGAGACACTGCTTCAATGTACCTCTCTTACTTCTGTAGTAACGCAAAGCTGCATTGATACAAATACAATAAACTTAATTTAGCACCCTGCTCTTACACAGATTTTACCTAAACATAGCCTAACTTTAATATGCCATGACAAATTAAGGCAGACAGATCATACATGGTGGTCAGTTCCAGACACTGGTGAAGAATTTATTCCTTCTTCCTTCTCTCATACATGCCCATTTCCTATATTCTTCTTACCTTGACACCTGGCTAGCCGCACTGAGATTAGAAGTCTGAATTTACACAATATCCTACAAATGGTCTACAAGGGTCTATTAGTGTAGCTCCATCTCCCCTGGTATTCTCTCTATACTCCTTCTTACTCTGTATTAAGAACAGTATTGTTATTCCACAGCTGTACAGCATCTAGTCTGACAGTTTGCAGATCCCAGGCAGTGAAAAACAGATACAATCCCTTCACGTTACAACTAAGGCTACTTAGACTGAAAGAATTATTTTGGCAACACACAGCTATTAACTTTCATTAAATTAGGAAATTCCAAACACACATTTGGATCCATGACAAATCAGACATCTGGTATTCATTCAAAATTTTAATAAAGAATATGCTTTGCCTATGTTAAGGTTCCTTCCTCACTTTTTCCAATGCCACGATACACATACAATGATGATAATAATATAACTATTCCTTTGTTAAGTCAAAAGCTTTTCATTTAGAGGTAAAAGTTACCGCAGCACAGTTCCACAAACAACTGAATATGTTTTTTGACAAGTGCTCTGCTGACACAGTTGCTAACAAAATCCAAATAGACTTGCCCAACAAGCTACCTGTTTAAAGAGAATAAGCAGAGGTCCCTTCCATCATGCAAACTCACAAATATAAAGAAATACTTTCAAAATGGTTACATCTGAAAATGCAGCCAGCTGGGAGAGAAGGAACCCACACTATTTTTTTTCTATCGCATTTTTGAACTTATTGATTTGTTGGGCAGGCTTGACATTTAATCAGAGGGGAGGGAAAATACATCATTTGGCTACAGAAAATTAGTTTTTTCTAGATACACATCCATCAAAGCCTTTACAAATTTCTATAGTGTCTTTCAAGATTGATACCAGATTATAGTCTTCAAGTCCTGTGTATCAATGTCAGTCTTTGGCAGCGGTATTTGCAATGTGACTGAACAGACAGAAGACCAGCTTGGTCTCACAGCAAACCTGCAGGTTCTCAACTAAATTAGTGACACTCTTTAAGAAAATGGTTGAGGAGTCTTAAAATAGAAAAATACATCTGTGAAAAATAAACTACTGTAGTGGTACATGATACATTCCTTTTTTTTTCCTGTCAGCAAATCTATATTGTAGTTAACTATTATTTTCTCAAGTAATATAATACAAGCCAAGTGATTCAGTGGCAATATTCTGCTCTCATATAATAAACAGCGTTGCACTTAGAATAACAAGTAACATATTAGTTATCTTGATGGCTTGGGTTTTTTTCTAGTGATGTGACAATATTTATCAACTGCATTGAGGACAGTAAAGCCCTAGAAGACACATACTGAGCATCACTACATCATTAAAGGAAAAAAAAAATAGATGCAGTCAAAACAAAACAAAAATCCCACAGTTTTTCCAAGTACATAAACTAAGGAAGTGATTATACAATCACGGTAGAGCGGCTGCATACAGGATAAAATGGCAGGCATTATGTACTCAATATCCAGCCATGCAGTTTTGTAATTAATCTTGTGATAGTAATAACTGAGCCTTGTCAAGCTTCTCCCTTATGATCTATGGCCCTGACACTGTGCTTCAAGGAGAAATAATGATGCCTTCTTCAGAGCCCACGTCATTTTACTCTGATTGTTGTTTTGGCTACTCTAAGGATAGAAAATTCAAAAGACAAGGAAAAGCAGGAAATCATCAAGAACAGATTTGCACAAAGAATACATTCTCCTATGGATATAAATGCATATTCCTTGATATATATCCATGGTATACATAGAAAGGAGAGATTCTTAGAAAAACCACTAGCAACAGGAATATGCTCATTGGAACATGACAGCCATATTTCAAACAGCTACAAATAAGCAGACATGGGAAGATGTGTCCAGTCAAATCTTCTGAGACAGAAGTAATTTGAGGAGTCTTGACTAACAGGAGTTTCTAGGTAAAAGTGAACAGAGTATGATTTTTAAAGCCCAGGAAAAATAAAGCTTTTTCATCTCATCAGCTAGAAGGAGGAACATCCCCTCGGATAAGAATGAGAGATCCAAGAAGAAAACTTGAGGAAAAGCAAGAAATAAAGAGGAAAAGAGAGGAAAGCAAACGTAACTTCTAAACATTTAGCCCAAATTGGCTCTCTAAACCATGCTGGATGTTGGATAAAACAATGAAATATCAGCGGCCTGCAGAGAGAGTCAAATTATTAACACCACATAAGCCACTGGTGTCTCTTGATGTTATTTTCCAAAATTTCCATCACTTTCTGTTGCAAAATGACACATTCACATATAGCATTAATTTTTCTGTATTTTTATTAAAATGAGATAAGCTCAACTCTCAACATTTTTAATCTGTTCTATTAAAGATCAAATTGAACAATTTCTGTCAGCAAAAATCTTGGGTAGGTATTTACAGCTTTCAGGTGATGAAATGAGATCATTTTCAAGAAACCAAAACCGAATTTTGTTGATGAAACAAAGTAAAATTAATCAGCATCATTCTCCTCCCCCTCTTTTTTCCGGGTTGTGAAAAACCTAATTATTTAGGCAAGAATAGCTGTAAAGTAATCCATGATGTCCATCAATCATATTCTTTTAAGCCTCATAAACCAGGCACTCAGGGAAAAACTACTTCAGTTCATTACTGTTGAAAGTATATTACATACAGTTAACCTGGAAAAGAATTCACACATTTTTGAAACGCATTTTGAATTACACAGAATCACAGAATCTTAGTGGTTGGAAGGGACCTCTGAGATCATTGAGTCCAACCACAAAAAAAAAAAAACAAAACAAAAAAAACCCCAAAAAAACAAAAACAAAAACAAAAAACAAACAAACAAAAAAACCAAAAAACCCCCCCCCCAAAAAAACACCACACCAAACACCCACCAAAACCACCGCACCCACCAACTAAACCCCACACTCAACACCTCGCCATAAACCAATAACCTTGGGCACTAGAGCATGCCCTGAAGAGCCATGTCTATATGTTTCTTAAATACCTCGAGGGATGGTGACTCCACCACCTCCCTGGGCAGGCTGTTCCAGTGCCTGACCACTCTCTCAGTAAAGTAATTCTTTCTAATATCTAATCTAAATCTCCCTTGCCGCAACTTCAGACCATTTCCTCTGGTCTAAAGGAACCTGGGTTACACTCCCTAGGCCAAACCCTGCTCCACCAGTATGTTTATATTCCTCTGTCAGTTCACTTCTGCTAATTTATTGGTCACTGTTCCACCTACCAACTGCACAACCTCATCAGGATCCATCGCCCAAACGGGCCTGAACTGCCAGATAAACTGGACAATCTTTTACCAGGACTTCTAGCGCTTCCGTCTACCCTTAGGTATCAGCAAAATAACAAGCAGGTCGAAAATTACCAGAAGCTTTTGGTTTTTCGCTAGGGCGGTTGCGCCGGGAAAGTTTCCGGCAGCGGACGTGGCGGGGCCTGATTGAGGATCGGCCCTGCCATTCAGCACCCTGGCCAGCTCCCGGCACTCCGTTCAGCACCATGGCCAGCTCCGGGCGGCCCGCAGCCGTGATGAAGACTCGGTACCTGAGCAGACGAGAGGAGCCAGCCCTGGAGAAGGTCTCTCCAGTTCCCAGTTAAGGCGTTACACCAAAGGCCTAGGATCTATCTGCTATGTGAATAACATTCAGTCTTCAGAGCTGTCACTGCATACAGCACCCTCCAGCAAGACTAAATTCATCAGTAACATCCAAAAAGACGCAGCTACAAAACTGCTTTTTTTAGTCTCCTTTTTTTTCTTTCTTCAGCACGCGTCACTTCCTCGCACTCTAGATAGATTATCAGACTTAGAGCAACAACTTCTAAGTGACATTTTGATATATGTGCCTCAAGAATAAGGGAACACACAACTAATTTGGTAAACATTTTGGGCACAATTCACATTACTTCTCTAGAAAATGACTTGTCTGTCTTAGAATTTATCAGACTTCTCATCAGCTTCTTAAGTTCCTATACATGTATCACCATAAGAGAGCCTTCCCTGTCAGCAGAAAGCTTGTAAAGCCCATGCATTTTTCCCCACAAGAAAGGATCTGGGCAATAGATTTAAAGTAAAAAAACCAACCAAACAAGTGTACGTCACCCGGAGAGAGAGAGAGTGAACAAAATACTTCTCAAGACACTTAAGAAGGCTTTTCTGACAATTTCAGACTCAGTTTTAAGGTTACAATTTCCACAGCTACCTAAAGGAAACTGAACATTCACCTTCTTCAGAAAGTTTAGAAGTACTGACGCCAACACTGTCCTGCTTTGAGGTAAAACAGAACTAATTTTCAGTAATTTTACTTTTCAGCTAAGCCTCTTCTAACTAACCACCTCTCTGAAATTAACTGCATATTTTTCAGGCAGTGTTGGCTTCTAGCAGATAATGTCTGCTGTTAATACAAAGGAATCATTTGCAGAGAGGCTCCTGATTATACTTAGTAACATAATAACCAAGGTCAGCTAACTGTGTTAAGCACCAAGTTGGAGGGTCGGAAGCAGAAAAGCGTAGAGGGGTCGCACCTATGGGGAGGAGTGGATGGAACAGGTGACCCAAAACTGACCAACAGGGTATTCCACCCCATCTGCCCATTCCTTGCTCAGTATAAAACCTGAGGGATCAAAGGGTCCATCTTGTGAAGAGAACTCTGCCTGTTTGTCTGCCTTTGATCCTGATTCATGCATTCCTGACTCCAGACCCTGAGTTCAGCTCCCATCTGTCACTGAGTCCAGTCTGGGACTTTGCCAGTGCCTGCTGGTGACATGATCATCATCCTGGGAGCTCCTGGGTTTGTACATTTTGTATATATATTTCATTATTGTCTTATTAATATTATTATATTTTCTTTTTATTATTTTATTATTAATATTTCGATAAAATAGTTTAGTTTCTTTTCAACTCATAAGTATCTCTCTCATTTTCTCTCCTCTTCAGAGAAGGGAGATGCTGTCCCTTCTCTGAAGAGGAGAGAGGTTAAAGAGAGCATCTGTCATTCGTTTCAGTGGCCAGCCCAGCCCAAACAACAACACACACATATTATTTTAATGTAACATATCCTCTGATACAACCTGGTTACATAAACCAAAAAATTAAAAATATTTTATTTCTTGGGTCTTCTTCCATATGTAACTAATTACTTAACAGACTGCGTGAACAGTATTTCCATGGAGGAATGATGGAAATTTCTGAGCAGCTTACTATGGTCTGGGCTTCTCATTCCTTTCTGCTCAGCTTACCATGCCTGTGGCTCCTCTGTACTTTTTCTGCTGCAATATCACATCTTACAACAATCAATAAGTAGGAAATTAGTTTCACATTTTTTGTTTCATACAAGACCTTTTTCTGGACTTTTTATAAAACAAGTTAAAAAACAACAAAAAAAAATTGATTCGACTCTTGACCTAATATTATTGTCTACAATAAAGTTTTAGACTTACCTTATGTACACTTTTTGGGTTTTCAAGCCACGCATAGTACATTTCCTCCACATAATTTGAATTACTCCCACTCAGGAATGGTTCTGAGCTTCCTGATGAAGCATACCGTTGGCCATGTACAAATACCCTTCTGGCTATATCTTGCTTTTCCAGAAGTTTAATGCCATGCCACTTCAGCCTAGCTGCAAACAACTTCAGATGACTCATGTTTGTTTATTAGACAGAAGATCCAAGTCTATTAATAAAGACAAAACAAAATCTAATCAGAAAAAAGAGCAAATGAATTGCAGATGCAGTTCAGCCTCACAGTGAAAACCAAGGTTTATGGCTAGAGCACTCTTCAACGAAGCTCAGGCCTAGGCATGAAGTTATGATCAGGACAGAAGCCACTCCATGACTGACTGTAGAGCTACACTTACAGCAGTGGAAGTGTTGCTGATGGCCATCCCCACCTCACAGCTTCTGTAACTGATAACATCATCCTGGCTCCTGAAGCAATCATGATACACTTGTAACCCCCTGAGCCTCTGGTTCCTTGGGAACAAATGAGTCTGCTAATCATTGACTTCTCTGAAGCTCTTGGCAACCCTAACTGCTGTCTCTTGCTGTAGAACGCTGTGGCCTTTTACCAAGCAAAACTGGGGTAGGTTCAATGAACCGCATCAACCTCAATCACAGTCGTTGAAAAAAAGTCTGCTACCTCAAATGTATGCCATGGATAATGGAGTTGACAAATAATTAAATGTGTTAGTTAAGCGTTCGTATTGACATTAACCTTCAACCAAACAGAGTTATTCTAAGAAAAGTCTCCGTTTAATTTGCTTTCCTAATTAGCAATATTTATCTTGTCCTTCCAGTGACCCCTTAGGAGCCTTTTAACAAGGAGAGTAGCTTCTCTGTAACTGTGACCACAGTGAGAAAAACAGTAACTGCTGAATCCCAGGAATGCTGAACACCATCAGCTCCACTGCTAGCAAAGGGAATCCAATCTTACCTTCAGAACAAAAAGAACGAATGTATCTTACAATTAGAACAAAAATAGCACCATCTTAATGCTGAAGTTGCTAAAATTGCAAACAAAAAGTGAAAAGAAATTATTAGTTCTGCTTTCACTTCAGAAGTACTGGGAAAGCTACAAGAACATAAAGGGTAGGATACTAATTAAAAGGAAGAAAATTTCAGATTTAACTCTGAGGTGTGTCTCATTTGTTTTATTGTCCACCTGGAGAAATAATTTACTTGGTCAGAAGGTAAAATACAAGTTTTTTGTTGTTCAGTGTGACTATTTGAACAATTGCTAAAACCAAAGTACTGAGCTGCCAAATGAACTTTGAAGTGTTTTAAAAATAACACCGTAATTTTCAGTCATAAATCAAATCTTACGTTACCTATTACATGTAAAGATTATTTTATCTCTAATTCAAAAAGTAACAGGTACCTTAAAAATTTTGTATAAATGTTTTCTCTATGTTAATCTCATTACATGATTTTCTCACTGTTTTTCCTCTTCCTCCTCTCCCTCCGAAAAAGGAAATATACAGTTATAAAATTCCTAAATTTGTAAGGGACAATAAGAACTGTATTTTTCATCATGCAATTTAAAAATTAATTTTGGTCTTAAAAAATTTTTAAAAAAGGTTCCTACTAAATAAAATTACTTCATGCTTTCTCTGGCATCACATTTTTAACATGGCATTTTTAACTCAAGATCTATTTTGGAAGCTGCTGACTGGATGCCTTTCTTATTGGCTGTGTTTAACCGTATCATCCCACCAGTGAACTCCCCTCCTTTATCACACCAAATTCCCCTCTATCCTCTTTTGAGACTTTTGCAGCCTTCTCACTCCCATCCACTAGCAGATCTGATACTTAGCTCATAACACCAGCTGCCATCATCCACTTTTACTGAATTTTCCAAACGAGCACTTGTTCACATTCTCCATGGTGCCTAGATACACAGAAAGTATTCTCCCAAGGCCATACCACCAAAACCAGTACACAATCCTCCTTTAAACCTATGAAATCCCCAAAACCTCAAAACCACACACTCTTCTCTCCTTACTTGGTATTTTCAGCAAATTAGCAATGATTAGGCTAATGGTATGCTGAATCTCCTGTACATTAGCATTATTTCTTATCTACCTATATCCACTTGTCATTTCCCATTTCACAGATTCAAAGCTTATTACAGCACTGATTTCCTCCAGTGTCCACACCTGGTCTACGATTAGGGCTCCTAGGCTACTGTAGGAACATAAATACTGTCAGCACCATTTTGAAAGCAGATTAAGCCCTGCAGAAGCTCAGAACAACTGGGACAACACTGACAGAGATAATATATTGTCTGCATACATAATTTTCGCAACAGCACTAAAAAACACCATGTACACATCACATCATTTTGCAAAACTTAGTAAGATTTCAACACAATATAACAGGAAGAACTGAGAGGTCGCCACGGCACTTAAGACTTTGTCTGTGCCCGCTCTGATAGAAATGATTATTCCACCCATCTTATTCCCTGCAAATCCCATCCTCTCCTACAAACTTCTGCACACATACCTGAGGGGTGGACATGTATACCTAAAAGGTTACCCACCCTCGTTTAAAGTGCATAGCAAACAGCTGGAAGAAAAAGGAATGAGCAGAACATTTTTCTCACTTTTTCATACTACAGCGGCAAGCTTCTTAAATACAGGCAATTTCACATGCTTTTTCCCTAATATGTCTATGTGGAGAATGTGTAGATCTTTCCCCTAGCAGTTAGCAAAGAATGCATAGCAAAATAACAACAATTTGTCATGGAGATTTGAAAATGAGCGTAAATGACATAATATGAAAAAAATAATGACTTTGTTTTTATGCAGGTATGAAATAAAAATGGACAAAGCCACCAACTGTGTAATTCCAGTCAGATTCCAACTACAGATTAATCTCACTCAACAAAACTGACTTCTTCCTAGTTTTTCCTTTCGCACACACCACTCTTCAGCACAGATGTCAGCTGTCAGCAGCTAAACAAATCGGAGACCACCAGCATGATCATAGACCATTCCAGCCCACTCAGCCTTGAGACTGTCAGTCAAAAATCAGCACACAGGACAGCAGGCAGAAGTCAGAAATAGTTAGGATTGTTCCACTCCGCTATGTTTCCTAAATCAACCCTGAAATAAAAACAGTGATTGGCAAGGAATCAAGCCGAGCTAAGAGCAACCTAAAGGAAGATATTAATTAACTCTCTACCGGAGGTCAAAAATAAGAAAGAAGCAGTGAACCAAAAGAATAACCTGATATTTAATGCACCAAAGCACCCTTAAAACGGTGCAAGTAAATGAAAGCCCTAAGCAGTTGAAAATTTCTGCAGCTGTTCTGCAGTACAGCATATGTGTCTCAAGCTACGAGCTAGCTTTCACCTTGGCACTTTCAACTCTAGAAGTGACCTAATGTCATGGAGAGTCTTCTGAATTGTTCTACACAGGTATCTAGAGGGTAATAAAAGCACATGAAAAAGAGACAGCAAGACACTTCTGATAGCTAAGTGTTTATCTAGACTTTTTCAAGATCACTTTAAACATAAATACACTGCACAGTATCATATGAAACGATATTCTCCTGGTATTGCCAGTACCCTTTCCAAGCTTTTTAACACATACATGAAGTCTTGCTACCAATGCCAAATGTTCTTTGTGCTCTGTAGAAGTAGTCATTGATACGTCTGGTCCGTATGTCACAAAAATACTTCTTCATCCACTATCATGGTCATTTTCTCCTATACTACCCACGCAACTAAAGCTCTTCTTAAGATTGAATAATTCTAAGAAAACAGGGCTGATAGCAGGAAAAAAAAAAAGGATAAGGATAATAAAGTATCAAAAGCCTGTCATACATAATTGAAACCAGAGAGGCATAGAATATCCTTATCCAATAAGGCTACTTGAGGAATACATTCCTCCACGTGACAAATGTTTCTTTTCCTTCCAGCACAGATGTACCACACTGTATAAAGCAGCATAATCCTCTATCCACTAAATTGACCTGGAGGAAACACACGAGCTGTGCATTCCCCACACAACACACCCGCAAGGTCTGGGGTGACGGCGGCATCTCTGTGCCATTGAAGTACCCAATATACCACTCTCCCCTGAAAAAAACCCGCCTTTAGTGGGTCCCAAAGGGGTAACATCACC